GTGCACCCTGGGGTAGTGGGGCCTCCACATTCTGGAGATCTTCAAAAGGTGGTCCCGAAATAGAACACCCCACAGTCATTCGACCTGACAAGAAGGGAGGCACACATCAGTGAGGCAGACTATGTGCTTCCTTAAAGAACTCCTGGGCATGGCCCTTTGGTGATTCTCTCTGGAAATGGATGGTATTTTAAAATAGAAAAACCTAAAGGCAGAAATAAAAACCCAAAATGGGGAACACTTTGATCTACTTTTGCTCATCACTACATGCTTCTACGTAAATGCATAAAAGGTCTACATGATAAAGAAGGTATTTCTGATTAAAAAGCAATATGATTGAGGCTTATTTAATGTTTGAAAATGCCCAGAGAGATTTTTGTCAAGATGGGTGTTCAGTGTCACCAATACCATTTGGGAGTAATTAAATAATAAATAAGCCATATGATTTCCCATTGTTAATCCAGTCTTACACATGAAAAAAACTGAATCTTGGAAGGGTTAAATAACTTCCTGAAAGGTCATATATTTGCACTCAAGTTTGTTTTGTTCCAAAGTCTCAGTTATTTCCACCACAGTATTAGTAAAGAAATTAATTATATAAAATTAAACATATACATATATATCAGAAATTATATATTTTATATATAGCAGAAATTACATGTTTATATACATAACAGAAGTTATATACTATATATATAAAACTGAAATTATTATACATACACAGTATATACACAGACATATACATGCACTGGCTCAGGAATATAGACTCAAAAGGGAGGTCCCAACGGGAAAATCACTGATAAAACTGCAAAGTTTCCCAGAGTCACTGCTTTAAGGGCCAAGAAACTCTTTTGGATGCACACAGTCTAGTGCTTTGCTGTTTTCACCACTCTGCCTCACTGTTTTATTATAATGTTTTGAATATGTCTGGCACACATGAGGCATTTAATAAATATTTGCTCAATGAATGAGTGAAATGTCAGCATAGAGAAGGCATAGGGCTCAGGAACCGTGGCGTGTGCATGTCAAGGGGAGGCGGAGCATATGGTGTGAGCACAACGAGGATACTCGGCTAAATAACAGTAGGTTTGAAAACACACGAAGCACAAAGATAGCACAAAGAACATCTTTCTTCTGCTGTGGAGGATGACCAAATCCCCAGATCCAGGACAGCAAAAATGAATTCTCCAGAAACCGTTTCTTCCCTGCTCCCGAAATCCTGGCCACGGAGCCTGGACTACACCTGAAGCGCCTCACTCTGCTGTGTTTCTTGATGGAGCAGTCTCCGTGTGAAGCAGACTTGGCAGACAGGATTTGAGGTGGTAACACAGGAAGGACCATGATACATTTCTTCACAGCTAACTGGTTTCATTTCAAAGAGCTCGACCTGCACAGTTAGTAACTTCTGTAACCTAAGGGAAATATAATTCGCTGAGTATCTTAAAGCATCTTTTTAGGTATAAATAAAACAAGTAAGGTCCACAGCCTCTAAGCTCATGCTTGTCGTTTTACTTTAAAATCAATTTCAGAAACAAGGGCATTAAAAATTGCTTAAAATTATTTGGAAGCGAATAATATGGAATGCAATTCACATGCCACAAGAGCATTTGTCTCCAAGATCTATAACATTATTTTCACATAAGCAAGAGTGAGCATTATTTACATCCTCAATTTATGTCAAATGGTTCCAAGATCCTTTCAAGGATTAGAGGGGAGGAGTGTTGCACAATTTAGATCTTTGATATTATTTGAGAAACACACACTTTGATTTTAGAACGATATATTTCAGCAAAACTATTAACTTAATGTACTTTCCTCAGTATTGTAACTTCCCAGAACACAAAAATAATAGCTATTTTTTTTCTTTTAAAGATTGGCTCCTGCACTAACATCTGCTGCCAATCTTTTTTTTTTTTCTTCTTCTTCTTCTCCCCAAAGGTCCCCAGTACATAGTTGTATATTCTGGTCATGCTGTACGGGAGGCTGCCTCAGCGTGGCCTGATGAGCGGTGCTATGTCCGCGCCCAGGATCCGAACCAGCGAAACCCCGGGCCGCTGAAGCAGAGTGCGTGAACTTAACCACTCGGCCACGGGGCCGGCCCCAGCTATTATTTCTTGAGCACCTGCTATATCCCAAGCACTGTGACCTACATTATTCTTGGTGCTCACAGCAACTCTGCACTTTTCAGGTGAGGAAACACTCAGGGAGGTTAAGAAACTTGGCCTCACTTTGAACTCAAATGCAAGTTTCGACAGAGACCTTCCTCTTAACACAAAACCTATCACCTCCCGTGGGCTACGATCCGGGACTTTAGAGAAACTAGATACAAAACTGGACCACACTGCACCGATCTCGTTCCATTTGTGTACTTCCAAAGTGCATAGGAGATCGCTCACTGTATTTTATCTTTCTAATATCCAGATCTTCATAGAATCTTTAGAGGACAAATTGCTTAACACGCCGAAACCTCGTTCGGAGTAAGGTTAATGATAAAAACAGGCATTTAACGAATGTCGTTTAGATGATGAAGTCTTCCCTCCAAATAAAAGCAAATCTTGCAGAAATAAAACTCTCGTGTGATACTGGGAAAGAATACAAATCACCACCGTGATCAAAAGCTATTGCATCCAGTTCACCTGCCCCCACCCTTATTTGGACAGTAGTGGGCAGAGTCCTGGGCTGGGAATCCACCGGCTCAAGCCATCACATTTAACAGGGTGGGGTCATATAAGCCTCTGGATTTTTCCCTGCTGTACTTCTCAGATACTCCTTGTGGGATAGCAATGCTGGCCTTACCAAACCCACACGACAGTTGTTAGAATAAAATGAAGTATCTTTGAAGGTGTTTTGGAAAGTATATAAATGCTGTCTGCAACAATAAGTGTTGCACACAAAACTATTACTATAGTTATTGTTCGTTAAAGGGACAGAGTCCTCCACTCATTAATTTACTAAAATAAGGTATATCTTTAAAGATCTAGGCAACAGAATAGCCCAAAACTAAGACTCAATCTGACAAAATGAGGAAGACTCCAAGACAGGGGCAGTGATGGGGAACAGGAATATAACTGTAGAATGAGCAGATACTGGTCAGAAAGAGGTAGAAAAAGGTTCACAGTTCAAACAAAAGCAGCCTTTCTTCTATGCCCTGAAGGGTTGTATTTGAGTTCCTGTTAAGACATGAGACAAGCAAACGGTATGAACAATGTTTACCTCAGGTGCTGCGTGGGAGGAAATGACAGGCTTTGTAACCTGCGCACTTGTTACTGTCTGGCAAGGGTCCCGCTCACGTTGTGGAAAATGACCCCAGCCGTGATGCTCCTACCAGCACAGAGAAGCGGCCCCGTGTCGGGATGTTAAAAGGAAACTGTTTCAGCAAGTACTTTTTAAAGCATTTTCATTTTCCTCATCCCCCAATAATGGTGTAAGGCAGATCATTCAATTAAGCCTAACTTAAGGGACGTATTTATTAAGAGCCTATAACGTATCTAGCAGGGTGCTAGAAGCTGTGAGATAGTCCTTAGAAGCACAAGACAAGCTGAGTTGGGAATGCATGATATAATCAGATAAAAATAAAGCAAGCTACATTACATCAATTATCTGTCGCCCAATGAGAAGTTTCCTTTTTCCTCTCTTCATAATGCACATACAACAGTTTTATCTACATATTTTAAAATTGTAATCATGACTTTTGCAGATGCTTTCAAGTGACTGCAGCGCATATAAGATATCTTTTTTTTTAAGTACCTCTCTGGGTTGTGAAAATTACTCTTAAGAGAGGTGGAGTTGAGCTCTTATCCTTTGAGCTGATGATTAAGCTTATGAGGACCGGACGGAGAACTTTTCCACACATTATTGCAGACACATAGGACTCTGTCTGAAGATCAGGACATAGCCACCGACCCACGCTCAAAAAATGACAACGGCATAAGCCTATGTCACAAAATTCTATACCATCTAAACTTCGTCAAAACCTTTGAAGCATGTATTCCCTGTGGTACTCTATGTGTATATATAAACAAACCTTTGCATTGTAGATTAATCAGACAGGGTGGAAAGTTCCGACACTTCTACAGTTTTTGAGTGTCAGCATTGGGCACTTTTCACATAATTGGACAAAGGAAATGGGTGCCTAAGGGCATGTTTCGATGTGTATGGATTAATTGTATCCTGATTCCACACATGTTCATGCAAAATTAGCAGAATAACAGCACCTGTGATTTACAAGAATGTGGCTTTAATGATTGAGATGCAGAAAAAAATCTTTCTTAAATGGCTCTTAATTCTACTAGTATTATAAAAAACTTGTGTTTTTAAGCCCAAATCTGAAAGGCAGAGAGAGGTGTAAGTTACACTGGTTTTAAGTTTTTCATTTTGAGAGACTTTGGTTAACAGTTCCTTAGACTGTGATCACAAAAACGAAAGCACAACGACTGCTTCTTCCCCTAGAATATCTGTCTTTAAAAATGTGGCCAAATTGTACAAAACATAAAGAAAGACACTTTCTTTTATAAGATCCCTTATAGTGAATTTCCGGGACTGTGCATCTGGGCACAGAACATTTGGTGACTTTTGTGTTTTCCTTTTTACTATCCTGTTCTGCTTGGTCAAGGCATGGACTAGTTCTAAATTGCATTCACAGTGCTTTTTAAATTATTTTGATAGGTAATTTAGTTAAAATGCTACATTAAATACTACTTTGGAACAAGGTGTGTTGGGAATACAATGTAATATAATTAAGATATGACGACATAGCTTTCCTTTTTCTCAGATAATTGGATGGATTTAGCATGGCTGTTGGCCACTGTCCGTTGCCCACATTGTCAGCAGTAGTGCATTCTACGAGAAGGAGTGCCACCATGTAGTAGTTGTTAACTTACTATTTTATTCTTCTATATTATGGGCACATTTATCTTGGTTCAATCCTTGAAAATTGCCTAAGGAATACAAATCAGGCATTTAAATGTGATGTAGACTAGTTTAGAATAAAACATGCGAAAGGATATTAGAGTATGTGTCATTTTAGATAGATAATTTAAGAAAGACTGCTATAGACTCATGATCATACTATGATCTATAATTTCCCCTTGATAATGAGAAGGCATTTTGGTTCTCTTTGGGGAAGGATAGAGCCCAAACTTAACAGCAGTCAAGAAATATAAGACTCTTCTCACCATCATCACCATCTCAGTGCTAGTGAAAAGTAGGGATCATGATAGTACCTACCTCATAGGTTGCTGTGAAGGTGAAATGGCAATAAATGTTAGCTACAAGTATTACTGGAACTCTCAGTCATTTTGGACCTGTAACCTGTTCATATTCAATCAGATGGAAATCTTTAAAATACATCTCACAATATATGTTGTCTAGAGGCAAGGAATAGGTCCTTATTAAGTTCAAGATTTTTATCATGAGGGTAAATCAACATTACAGTCAATATTTTATTTTTTACAAACTAATTATCCAAATTAATAATACATATCTGTGGAGTGTGATGAACTTCAAGCCACTTGCACCGGCTGAATAAACGTTTTAATGAACAAAGCAATCAGTGTGACTTCTGAGACAGAGACATTTACCAAACCCTTGGACCAGCACCTGCAAACAGTTTAGTTCAGGGACATCTGTAGTCTATGAATCTATTTTGGATGGTGGATAGCTCTTGCCAGGAACAGAGCGAACTGTTTTTGAATGTGCTCTCCCTCCTTCCTACTTCCTAGTCATGAAAGAGTAACTGCCATAGATTTGGTCCAAAAAAGCGAGATTAAGTGAAGAGTTCAGTTGTATTTCAACTTGGCAAAAAAAAAAGGAAGAACAAGGAGCAATGGATGCAAAAAGAATTCCTGTTGGGATGGAATCAAAATGGAATTTTACAAATGGCTTATGCACTCTAAATCTGGTCAAAGTATATCCTCCATTTCTTGTGAAAGAAATTCATTATTTGCATTCTGTGGATAAGCAGCTTATGGTTTCTGAAAGGGAGGAATGTTAGTGTTTTGGGTGGGAGAGTTTTCTATTATGAGGGGCTGTCCTGTGCCCCTATCACATTTACCGTCTCTGACTCCTGGTGTACTAAAGGGCGGTTGTTCCCCCAGACAATCTCCCCTCACTACCCCAGATTTTCAGACTCTTTCAGGGAAACGAGTAATACCACCCCTAGCAGAGAACCACTGTGGAGACAAGAACATGAGTATTCACACGGTTTGATGTTGGAATTACACTTCTTCACTGACTACACCCAAGAGTTTACAGATTCAGTTTAGTAAATTGGATCTGAAGCCACTATGCAACATTCAGGCAAGGACATTCTAGGAAAGAGGGATGGAAAGAGTCCTGGTTAAGAAAGCGGATTCCTCTTAGCTCTACAACTCCCCAGCTGTGATATCTTGGGCAACGTTTTTCTTTCTAAGAAAGGGACACTGACGACATTCACCTTAGAGGCTTACCGTGAGGACTAAGGGGCTAACTCCTGTAACCTGCTTAGCTCAGGTCCCAGTACTCAGCGAGCACTCAGATGTGCCGGCTGTTAGGCATAATGGTAGCCAAGTGAGAGTTTATGCATGTAATGTCTGTCATTCACAGGGATCAAGAATCTGTCAAGATAATGTACAGTGGAAAAAACAAAGGTAAGTTAAGGCAGCCCCACAAATAACTAAAATATGGGACAGATGGCAATTTCAACTACTAGAAACATGTTATTTGTTGTCCTGTTAACTGGTAAGGGAAAAATAAGAAAGTCTATGTTTTCATAAATTCGCAAAGCCTGAGATGAGCTTTCTTGTTTCTTATTTTGTGCCATATTTTAAATTCATCACTGACTCTTGTTTTAAATATACACAATACAGGAACTTCTACACTTGACAGTTCAAAATTGCTCAGTCTATGTCAAAATGTTTTGTTTCATTAAGCATGTATTCAGCACAGGAATCCACAATGAAGAAATATGAAAACAAGGAAAGCATGTTAATTCCTGAATTCTTAAGCTAGCAAAGGTATTGAACACCTAATACGCTGTTCTTCTCTGAAACAGTGTAATTCATATTTTTACTGATTGAGACTAAACTGTAATCCAATTCAATATATTTAATCAGGAGTAAATTCAAAACATTTTAGGTATGGATAACCTAAGATAAAATGCTAACATGTAACTTTAAGTAACTCCCCACTTACCGAGTGCCCGCAACAATAAAATACCATCTAATCCAGATCCCAGGATCTGACTTCTTTTAAATGAGTATTTCTAGAGATTTAAATATCTTTATGCCAAAAAACACAGTAATGTAAATGTGACATTTAATATACATATTATTGCACAATTAGAATTGAATCCTTTAAAACAGGTGTCCACTGCCTAAAGATAAAAATAACCCAGAACTATCACAGTCATGCATTACCAGTAAGATCATTATGATTAATACTGCAACTATTTTTCACAATTCGTAGTACCCTGTCCATACTTCATGGATTAGGTCATTGTGACATTACTAGCTTGATAATTCACAAGCTGGAAAATCACGCTATCACCAGGGCTGCAATCATATGTATGCATTTCTACATACTGGTAACAATCAAAGAAATTAACAATTCCATTCACAATTGCATCAAAATGAATAAAACACTTAAATTTCATAAATGGAGCATGAGATTTGCACACTGAAAACTACAAAACATTGCTGAGAAAGTTTTAAGATTTTATTTTTGTCCTTTTTCTCCCCAAAGCCCCCCGGTACAGAGTTGTATATTCTTAGTTGTGGGTTCTTCTAGTTGTGGAAATTTTTAAATATCTAAATAAATGGACAGAATCCATGTTCGCGGCATACTTCAAAGGACAGACGCCACTGAAGGACTTAACACCATAAATACGTCAGCTCTCTCAACGTTATCAGTACATTCAACGCAATCTCTATCAGAATTCCAGCAAGCTTTCTTTGTGTGAGTGGAAAATGACAAACTGATGCTAAATTTACAAAGAAATGCAAAGAAACCAGAAGATCCAAAATAATTTTGAAAAGAATTGGAAGAATTATACTGTCTGATTTCAAAACTTATTATAAGGCCTTAGTAACCAGGCCAGTGTGATAATGGCACGGGATTAACATACAGATCAATGGAAAAGAGACTCCAGAAACGGACTCACAAATACAAAGACAACAGATTTCTGATAAAAGCACAACAGCAGTTCAGTGGTGAGAGAATCTTTCTTTTAACAAATGATGCTGAGACAACTGGATATCCCTATGCAAAAAAAAAGTTTTGACCCTCATTCACACCAGACACAAAATTAACTCAAAAGAACTGATAAAATGACCCTCATCAAAATTAAAAACTCATATGCTTGCTTTAAAAGATAGCATTGAGAAAATGAAGACAAGTCACAGACTGGGAGAATATAGTTGAAAATCATGTATCTCGCAGAACACTTGTATCCAGAATATATAAAAGAATTCTTACAACTCAAAAATGAGAAGACAAACTAATTTAAAAATGGGCAAAAGCTATGAATGGACATTTCACCAAAGAAAATATACAAATAGCTAATAAGCACCTAAAAAGATGGTTGCTCAACATCAATAGTCATTAGGGGACTGCAAATTAAAACCACAATGAAATACCATTACATATGACTATAATCAAAAAGACAATTCCAGGGCTGGTGAAGACGTGGAGGAGCGGGAACTCTCATACACTGCCGATGGGAACGTAAAATCGTACAGACACTTTGGAAAACCGGTTGTTTCTTGAAAAGTTAAACACTTACCACACAACTACAGCAATTCCACTTCCAGATATCTATTCGAGAGAAATGAAACATTATGTCCTCACAAAGGCTTCTACATGAATTTCACAGCGGCATTATTCATCACAGGTAAATAGTGACAACAGTTCAAATGACCATCAACTTGTGAATGGATAAACAAAATGTGGTATATCCGTAAAATGGAATACTGATCAGCAATAAGAAGTCAATAACTGATAGATGCCACAACTTGGATGAATCTCAAAAATACGCTAAGTGAAAAGAGCCAGATGCAAAAGATTACACATGGTATGATCCCATTGACGTGAAATATTCAGAAATGGTCAATCTGTACAGACAGAAAGCAGACCAGTGGTTGTCGGGGGCTGGGGACAGAAGCAGGGAGTAACTACAAACAAGCATGGCGGGAACTTTCAGGGATGATGGAATTGCTTTAAAGCTGGATTATGGTGATGATTGCACAACTCTATAACTACGAACAATTACAAATTGTACAGCTACAATGAACAACAATTTGCTATGAAAATTATACTTCGATAAAAAAGAAAATTATACTTCAATAAAAAAGGAAAAAAATCCTCCACATGAAAGTAGGAATTGATGATCAAATGTGGGTGAAGGGTGAAGTCAGTCCTAGAATAAAGATGGCAGTCAATAAACGTTTGTACAATCAATAATGAACTTGTGAACCTGGCCAATTGGGAGAAATAAAAGGAAAAGTTAAAGATGTTTATAATTGTCTTCTTTATTTCACTATTATTTAACTTTCTATAGCCTTGCGTTCCTTAGCTGGATAACAGGAGTAACAGTACCTCCTTCACAAGGATATAACAAGACCTAATGCGATAACGGACACAGCTTTCAGTATAGTGCTTGACATATAACACTAGGGACTAGCTATTAACATTGTAAAAATATTCAGGTTTCCTCTATAGATGAGGAAATACTTAATAAAACACATTTATGTTTCTCTACTTTCATAGCTATGAAATTTTCCTTAATGTAGAAATGCAACCAGAATTTCATCAACTTTACTCAAAGTTAGTTGTAACAAAACAATTGACAGTGAATAAATTTTGGTTTTTCAATTAGACTTTTCAAAATGTAGCCATTTTCAAGGCACACATTATCATATTTAAAAAAATCAAAATGATTAACGAATGAGATATATCCATCAGTACAAATGAAAACTAGCTGATTTAAATACATAAGCTTATCAGTAAGTACATACTGTTTGCTAAGGCATCAGCTGAATCTTATCTTATAGAATAAGTGGCGTGAATGAATAAGAAATACCCTAATTTCTTCTGAAACTGACAAACATTTCTTTTATCTGATCCTTTTTTTATTTTTATAAACTATTAAAGAATTATAGGGTTGGAAAGAACCTAATGGGCCATTATCTATCTTTCAAATCTTTTTCTATAAAGACCTCATCCTACTTTAAAAACAGTCCAGTGGAGAATCCATAACCTACTTGGTAGCGAGCGCTCATCTTTCGGAAGTGTTCTTTACTTCTGCTCTTTCCTGAAAAGAAGTCCACCCTGCTTCTGGACAACGGAAAGCACTGGCTTTATCATAAAATGAGGGTTCTCTCAGGTGAGTTACACACTTCTTCGGATAACCAGGTTCAAGGACAAATGTGGACAAGAATGATTGAAAACTGGTGCACACACAACCGGGGGTACTTTTTGTAGGAGAGTGAAAAGAGCTAAAGAGACAGGGACAGGGACATGAGGACACACTGAGGTGCCACGCTACGGAGCTTAAGAAAGAAGCTATGGCCAGAGTATGCTTGTATATTGTACCGTTCAACAGGGGAATCATCAGCCAAGAAAAACAAGGGGCACAGAGCTACACGAGCTACATGATGCTAGGACAACAGTGAACTTATAAGGTGCAAATATGTAAATTGCATTAAATATTACTTTATTGTGCTTGAAATTTGATTTATTACAAAGAATATCCAGAAATATTAATTTCCAATTATTTGGATTTTTCTTACAAGTTGTTTTAGTAGTTCCAGATGAATATGTAGTATTTGTGATCTGAAAGGACTGCTTGACAAAATCTTTAGAAATCACTGGTATATAAACCGAAGTTACCCCAACAAAAACAAGTCAGAGATCACTGGTAGGCTCATATTTACTTACACTGTAACTCAAAACTGTACTTTGGATGTTACAAATCTGTTTCTAGTCACATTACTAGCACTGACACCTGCGAAATATTCAAAAATGTGATGAATTACGTCTAGAGCAGGGCAGGTTAGGTAAAATTTTGAGCTTCGAACTTCAGAGGTCCTAGCTACTTCAGAAACTGGCAGCACTCTAATAAGTGAAGAGGGGAGGCAGCTGTCAGTAGCTGCTGGGGGGTGTCAAAGGGAGCCCCTCCATCCTATTTCCAAAACAAAGTTGTAAGGTTCCCCACTGTCCCCTGAGACTGCATGCTGACTTTCTGTGACTTCCTTCCCTCTTGGAAGACTCCTTTGAAGTCCACTTTCTTCGGGATAAAATGTGGTGTGGGAGGGGAAGAAGTGCACAGTGTAATTATAACCCAGGCTGGGCCCTCTCCACCCGCCGGGGGAAATCCCATCCCGCCCGTATGCCTCTAGGGACAACTCGATCTGAGCTACGTTTCTAATAAAGAAGAATATCTGTAGCAAGAACAGAGCTGAAATATTGCCAGCATACCATTCATTACAGAAATAAGAACTCTGAGACACCTAAGAAGGCCAGAGCATCAAAACTATTTTTATTCTCTATATTTTTAATCTAATTGCTGAGTTGGAGAATTTATTGCATTTTACTTCTAAAATAGACTGTTCTTCCGCTTTGCTTCTTTGAAAAGTTGGTATCTTCCCATATAAGACTGAAAATCCATTTTCACATCTGTTCTTATCTTTTGTTTGTACATCTGCAGAATTTACTTCTTGGGTTGCCATAAAAGAAGAGTAAATAAAATTTTAGAGCTAGCTTTCCTCATGTTACAAATGAAATACGTGAAGCCCAGAAAGGCTGGCCCCCCTCCTCCAGGTCACAGAGAGAAGGACTTCACATCATCAGATCCTGGATTAGCATCCAGACCCTCAGCTCCCCCCAGCACATACCTCACTGCCTATACGAATCAATGTTGCAAAGAATCAATACGACAATCTAGGTAACAGGGTTTAGCTTTAGTTTGTATGCACAAAGCAAAGGGTACTTACCTTTTTTTCACTTTTCTTGACAAATCTAAACATGATGTAAGGATTTACATGGCAGATAGACAGATAACACAACAAAGATGAATTTGGTTGGCGTACACAATGATGTGGGTTGGTGCGCATGTTATTAGCCTCTGCAAAATCCAGACAGTTAAAGGAGTTAATAAGGTAAAACAAGCCTAGCATTTTTTTAAGCATACTGTTGACAGGTATGTTCAAATTCTACAAACAGATGGAGAGCTACATTGTTAACAGTAAATAATTGAAAAATGACATTAGCCTTTTAACAATGGTTTGTTTCAATAGTTTATTTTTGTTGGTGATAGGGATATTTTCTCAGTAAATTCAAATAATTTTATAACAGTGGATGATAAGCTGGAGCTAGAAAAGTTAACATACAGCATTATCTTGAAATTTCAGGGGGAAAGAGTGGTTGACTGGGACTTCACTTATCTTTTTGAATCAAAGTTGAAACAAATATTTTGAATAGAAAACTGAATCTGGTCTTTCATATTTCAAATGTAAAAGTCCTCTGATAGAGAAAATTCCATTTTTGTGCATCTGTTTAGATGATATTACAGTAAAAGGCAACATTTGGATTGTAGAATGTAGCTAGTGAAAACATAAGTAATGTAAATTAAGAAGAAATTAGCTTTTCCACATGAAAGAAAATCAATGATCAAATAAAATCAACATGATTATGGTGACTAACACAAAAATACCAAGAATAATATAGTTTTCAGTTCTTGTTTGGCACATATATTAATAAATTTTCAAACATCTAACAATATAACACCAACATCTACTAAAACCAACTAGCACAACAAGATTCCTAAAACTTAATTATTAACATCATAAAAATCTAATTTCCATTTGGATTCTGTAACCAAGCACACCCTCTGTGCTGTGCAAGCTGGTTCAAGCACTGTCTTTCTCAGGACTCCCCAGAATTCAGTAAGTATTTCAAAGTTGACTCATGCTGAACCCCATAATTCCTTATCCAATTCGGTGGATCTCCTGAACAGGCCTTCACTCATGAGAAAATATGCAATCATCACAATTTTGAAAAGAATGGAAGGCCTTCATACATGTCAGTTTTTAGTTTTATCCAGTCATTAATTTTCTGCAGAGTTGTTTTTTCTTGACTTAATATTTTTGCAAGTTTTTTCATCTTTTCTTCATTTCTTTCTATGTACTTCAACCCTTCCAACTGCAGCTGATCCAGCTTTTCATTTCGACTTTCATCGAGAGGTATGTTTTCACACATTACAGGATTGAATCTAAAATAGGTGTCAGGAGGTAACAGACCGTCAAGCATTATATGGACTTCTGTTAAAACAAATAAACAGGGGATAGGGTGGATAAGAAAACTGAGTTGATCTGCAATGATCTAAATTTATCTTTATTTAAAATTATCCTCTTTTAGGGCAAATTACAAAGCTGTTCTTATTTCATCACTCCACCTAATTAACAATAGGAGTAAAGAACCCATAATAATGAAAATAACTACAAAGAGAAATTAATCTCCCAAAATACTTCACATAATTCTGCTAAATTAGGATACTTGCTCCAGTCCTCTCTTCTCTCTGGTTTTGGTCACACTGTTAGCCACAGCTGAAATGCCTTTCCAACTTTCCTTTTTTTGTTTTTAATTTTTTGGGATCATCTTCACTGAGGCGTAGTTTTCATACAGTAAAATTCACTGGTTTTAAGTGTAGAATTTGACAAGTGTTGACAAATGCATACACTGTGTAGCCAGCACGACAATCACAACAGAATATTTCCATCACCCCAAAAGGTTCCTTCAGGCCTCTAAAGTTGCTGTCCCTTACCCTTTGCCTTTTCTAGCGGTCCATATACACAGAATCCTAAGTATATAGCTCGTAGCCATCTACCTTCTTTTACTTAGCAAAATGCTTTTGAAATTCATCCACGTTGTAGTTGTCTCTCTAGTTCCTTCTTTTTTATTGCTGAGTAGTATTCCATTGTATGGGTATACCACAATTTGTTCTCTCCAGTTCTAGTTCTGGCTCTCTTCCATTTTTAGCTATTAGGAATACTCCCGCTATAAACATTTACACTAAGTCTTTTTGTGGATATGTGATTCCATTCCTCTTGGGTAAACACCTGGGAATGAAATTGCTGGGTCATATGGTAAAGTATATTTACCTTTTTAAGAACTGCATCGCTGTTTTTCAAATGGCTGCACCATTTTGCATTCCAACTATTAATATAACAGAGTTCCCACTGCTCCACATCTTTGTCAAAACTAGGTATTGTCAGTCTTAATTTTAGACATTCTAGAGGATGGTGTAGTGGTACCCCGTACTTTTAGTTTTCATTATTCTAACAAACTAATGATGTTGAGAAGTCTTTCATGTGCTTATTAGTCATCTGTAGATCTTCAATGAAGTGTGTATTCAAATTTTTTGTCCATTTTTTTGACTGAATTTGTTTTCTTCTTTAGATATTCTTTATATATATATATATAAAATGTAAGAATTCTCCCTATATTTTGGTTCTGATTATGTATTTGGTTCTGATGACAGATCAGATACATGTTTTATAAATATTTTATTTCAGTCTATAGCTTGTCTTTTCATTTTATTAAAAGTATCTTTTGAAGAGCAAAATTTATAATTTGATGAAATCTAATTTATCTTTCTTTTTTGGTTCATAATTTGTGTGTCTTATCTAAACAATCTTTACCTAACCCAAGGTCGTCAAGATCTTCTCTAGAGTATTCTAAAAGTTTTATAGTTTTAGCTCTTCTGTTTAGGTCTACAATCCATTTCAAGTAAATTTTTGTAAAAGGTACAAAGGATCAAGACTCATTTTTTTAAATATAGTTATCTAATTGTCCAAGTACTAGTTGTTGAAATGACTAGCCTCTCCTCATTGAGTTACCTTTGTCAAAAATCTTTTGAACTTAGATGTATGGATCAATTTCTGTACTCTCTATTACGTGCCACTGATCTGTGTGTGTCTATCTTTATGCAAATACCACAGTCCTCTGCTTACTGTAGTTTTATAGTCTTGAAATCAGAGGGCGTAAGTCCTCCAACTTCTTTTTCAAAATTGTTTTGGCTATTCTAGGTCTTTTGCATATCCATATGAATTTTATAGTCATCTTGTTAATTTCTACCCCAGAAAAAGCTGGTTTAGATTTTTATAGCAATTGCAAGGAGTCTATAGATCAATTTGTCATCTGCCACTTTAACAAAAATACTGAGATTTCAATTCATGAGCCTGGCATATGGATTTATTTGATTTATTTATTTAGGCCTTGTATATATTTCATTTCAATTTTCAATTGTTCATTGCCAGGACGCAGAAATACAATAGATTTGTATTGACTTTGTATTCTTCAACTTTGCTAGACTTATTAGTTCTAGTAGCTTTTTTATAGATTCCTTAAGATTGCCAACATAGACAACCATGCTGACTATAAATATTCTCCTCTTCATTTCTAATCTATATGCCTTTTATTTCCTTTTACTGCCTTACTACGCTGGACAGATCTCCAGTACAACATTGACTGGAAGTGATGGGAGAAATCTTACGCTGTTCCTGATCTTAGGTAGAAAGCATTCAATCTTTTCCCATTAAATATGATGCTGGCTCTGTTTTGTTTCTTTTTAGATGCCCTTCCTTAGGCTGAGGAAGTTGCCTTCTGTCCCTAATTTGCTGAGTGTTTATCATGAATGGATACTGAATTCTGTCACGTCTTTTTCTGTATATATTGAGATTATCTTAAATTTTTCCTTTTTTGGTCTGTTAATGAAGTGAATTACACTGATTTTTTTGAATATTAAACCTACCCCATATTTCTGGGATGTACCCTACTTGGTTATTCTGTATTCTCCTTTTTATAAACAGCTGAATTCAATTTATTAGCATATTTTAAGGATTTCTGCATGCATATGAATAGGGAATATTGATCGGTATTTTGATATTTTTACCTGGTTTTGGTGTCAGGGTAAAGCTGTCCTATAGAATGAGCTGGGAAGTAGTTACTCTTCTTCTATTTTTTACCCATTTGTGTAGAATTGCTGTTAATCATATCAACTGTATTTTCATTTCAGGTCTTGGATTTCTCACCTCTAGCAGTTTGATTTGGGTCCTTTTTATATTACCCTTCTCTCTCCTCATCATGTTCAAGTTTTCCTCTATTTCATTGAACATATGGAGTATACTTATAACAGCATTGTAATGTCCTTGTCTGCTAATTCTATCATCTGTTTCACGTCTAGGTCTGTTCTTATTGGGTTTTCTCCTGGGTAAGGGTGTCTTTTCTTGCTTCTTTGTATGCCTGGTAATTTTTTATTGGATGCCAAACACAGTGAATTTCACATTTTTGTGTGCTGGAGTTTGTTGCATTCCTTTAAATATTATTCAATTTTATTCTAACAATGGATGCTGTTAACTGGACTCAATTTGATCTTTTTGAGAAATGCTTTTAAGCTTTCTTAGGGTGGACCCATAGCTAATCGGGTGCCATTTCTGAGACAGTACCCTTCTGAGGACTCTTGCACATCCAATGTATTACAAGGTCTTTCTGATCTAGCTGATGGAAATCTCAGCTACTATGGGTCCCACGTGAGCTCTAAGGATTGTGCTGGTGCTTTCTGGCGTTTCTTTCCTCTGCTTTGGGTAGCTTCCTCACATGCATGCACAGATCAGTACTCAAGGAGATGGCTCTGCATATCTCTGGAGCACGCTCTCTCTGAAGCTGCCTTCTCTGTCGTATTTTGCCCACAAATGCTAGTTTCCTTGGCCTCCTTGAACTCCAAACTCTGTTTCCTGAACTCCAAGGGACTGTCCTGCTGTTTTGGGTTCTCCCCTCCCTGTACTATGGCCTAGAAACTCTTTTCAGGTAGCAGGCTGGGCAAATATAGTGATTACTTCATTTATTTTCCTTCTCTCAGGGTTCACTGACCTGTGCCACCTGTCACCTAATGTCTGAAAACCATTGTTTTGTCCAGTTTTCTAATGGTTTAAGTGAAAGGAAATATACGGCTCCTATTATTCTATCATGGCCAGAAATGGAAGTCTTCATCCTCTTTTAAAATGCCCAAACCCTACGGATCCTTTAAGACCTGTATCAAGTGTAATTTACTTCTTGTAAACTGTCTACAACAATCTAGCTTTCTCATTCTCCCTCTTAATTCATAGTCTTAATCATCTACAACTACCATTTATTTAGCAATTGATAATATATTAGATTGAACCAAATGAAATTGCTGTTTTTTATAGGTCAATAACCATGAACTATCAGCAATCACATGTGTTTCACTCTAATTCTTCACTAACTAGAGTATAAGTACATGGACGCAACACTTCATGCTTCTTGAAAATTTCAGATGAACCTATCACACAGTTTGCACAAGGTGTACATGTAAGTATTATGAGACTGGCTGATTAAAGCTACCCTTTTCTCAGCAGATTGCTTATGGTAAGAATATTTGATTGATTTGACAACAAAATTTCAGATAGTGAAAAATCCAGAATATTAGCTTTTCTTGGGTTATCATTTAATAGATAAAAGTCCTTACTGGGGAATTTAAGATCCTTACATAGCTAATAGACTCAGCCAATAACCTCATGATATGGAAAGAGTGAGAATGAGAAGCAAGTGGCTAAGTGGTAAAAATTCTTTTGAAAAATTTAATAAAAGATTTCATATAGGACTTAAAAATAAAATAGTAAAATATGGAGATCTAAACCTCAAGGCCAAAACTAGAAATTCAAAAGTACTCATTGACTGTTTACTGTGTGTTAGGCACTGAAGTCAACGTAGTCAACTGGATAAGTTCCTGCCTTACATTCTTGTGGGAGAGAGAGGTAGAGAATAAGGAATTAAACAAGCAAGTGCGTAATATATATCCATAATGAGATGAATGCTCTATGAGAAAAAAAAAGAAAGAAGCAGGATAAGGGGTTAGAGAGAGACGGTGAGGTGGTTGGAAAGTGGTCAGGAAAGGTTTCTGAGGAAGTGACATCTGAGCAGAGACCTGAATGAAATAAAGTAGCGAATCAAGCATACACCTCAGGGGTGGCCTCAAGGAGAGAGAATACAGCAAGTGCAGAGGCCCTGAGGCAGACTTCTTAGCAAGTTTGAGGAACAGCAAGAATTAAAGTGTAGCTGGACACACTTTACAGAAGGGGTACATCTTAAAGAGGTGAGGAAGAGATGTATTCAAAGGCTAGGTCTCAGAGGCCTGGGAAATTTCAGCAAATGAGGCTTTTGGATTTTGCTCTAAATGTGATGGGAAGCCTAGAGGGTTTTGAGCTGGGTAAAGATGATTTAATTTACATTTTACGAGGACCACTTTGGTCTTTACATGAAGACTAGATTATAGGTGCAGCAAGAGTGGAAGTGATGACATGCTAATTCCAGTCTGTCTCCGCCTTCCTAAATAATGTAACACCATAAGTACGCTCATTCTCTCACTGTTACCACGTTTTTATCTGAACCAACCTGACTCCTTCTCTTTTTCCTGTTTCTCGACTGGCTTAAGAGTCTCCAGCCAAGTGTCTGTGCTACCCCTGCTTTAGATACTTCTCCAACTGTAAGGAGGCAGTGGCAGCACCAGCTTCCAGACAGAGTCTCTACTCCAGGGTCACTCAGAAGAAATGGGTGAGGAGAAATGGGAACAAGACACTGGATCCCATGTGCTTCCCTCCAACACCGACGTATGTACTCTTTTGCATTTAGCATCAGCATATTCTACCAAAAGCTGAATTCTACAAGTTAGAGCAGCAAACAGACAGACTAACCTTCCGTATCTGTAGCGCTGTTGATAACATTCGACAGCTTGGTCTTCAAGCTTGTGTATGTCACGGCATTTCTCACGTCGCTCTCATACCGCCCAGTGCCCAGGGATACAATGCACTCCAAGGGGACGTCTGGCCAAAGACATTTACACTCGTGCATTGCTAATGCTGAAGGGTTATTCAGGAGCAAACCGCCATCCTGCCAAACGTAAGTCAAGAACATACAGTAGAGAACTCTTAAAAATGAAATTCCATTCTACAAATTTGAAAACAAAACTTCTATCTTAAACAATTTGAAATTTACTCAGGGAGAGCTGAACTATGTAATAAATTGAACAAATTATTTAAAAACAATAGGTTCTTCAAAGTGATTTTATTTTATATACTACAGCTGCAAAAAAAGTCATGTGGAAACGCGCTGGCTGCACTGACCTTAAGCTTTCCTTTCCTATTATGAAAGTTTTTGAACTTCTTCATGGATTGCTTTGCATATTTTGCTCAAAACTACTGAAATAAACTAAATTACATTTTAAAGATATATTATCCTTGTTTAGAGGTTTAATATAGATTCTATATAAAACCTAACAAAAGAACTGTGGTTTTACCAAACAATTGAAACTAGTTTTTTCACAAGTCAAATCATAACCAAATTAATGAAACTAATTTAAGTTGAAACTTCATTAACAATACAATTTCAAAGTCTCACATTCATTATAATGCAGATATAACCTAAACAAAGTAGGCAGACTTTATGAATCTAAGCATTTATCAATAATCAATGTTATTTTGAAGAATTCAAAAAGAAGGGTAAAATATGCTGCTAAGAGTACTGTAAAAGGCAGTAGAATAAAGTATATAAGCAGTCTCACAATAATTTCTGATAAAGACCGAAAGAAAGAAATGCAGCCACCCAACCTCTAGTGAGGTAATAATATGACTGTCCTTTTACAAAATTCATGAATTAAAGGATCAAAGAGACTCCTCCCAAGTAGTTTCCTTTCCTTGTAGAAAATCATCGACTCTGCACCTCCACCACTGTCAGTAGTAGTGTGCCCTGGCTTGAAGGCCCCATTTAAAACACCTGCAGAATTTTGCCCTGCTAATGAAGTATACTATTGTTACTAAAATTTCTCGTGGAAAGTGAAGGAGAAACGCCCCTCACCTTCTTGTGAGTTTATGCTCAGTTATTTTAGGGGGAGGAGTAGTATTTACTTTATAAGTCACAGATAATGATAACTCTTCATTTTAAGCATTACCAAAACAACTTCCTCAAAAACACATATCTCAAATAACACTCTCGTTGAATGAATGAGAATACACTAGAAGGCAGAAATACAGAAATATCCCAAAATGCTAATCACACTTCCCAGAGAAAGCTTATTGGCTCTTTAGTTATGGAATAGCCAGTCTACGGCTAATGGTCCTGTATCATGGCTTATGTCATTCATGCCCAATGTACAGCTTTATGACATCTTTGGGATAACAGGGATACACAGGGCTGTGTGGACTCTCAGAGAATCTATTTTGTCACATGTCTTCACTGCTTGCTCTATTCTCCACTTTAGAGTGGGTTGTTTGCTGCCACTTCCAGCTCAATCTCTACCTGCCCCTGAGTGGCCAATCTCCACCACTCTCCAACTACATCTCTTCAAAAGAATGTGTCTTATGTTTCCACATTTATGACTTTCCCGAGAAAAGGCTGTCCTTTTAAAAGACATTTCTTGTCAACAGGGGCATATTCATTCATAGATCCATCACATCTCAGGTCTTTGGCTCTTTTCACAGATGTCCCTCTGTGGCTGAGACGTGCTTAAGTTGGGAATGTCTCTGTAACGTGAAGCTTGCAGAAAGCTGGTCTGTGAATGGCGTCAGGTTTGGGATAGGGAAAGATGGGGAGTGGGGAGGGTTGAGTTCACCTCCTTTGCCGCCTGACTGGCAGGAGGCATCCTAAGAACAGGGAAGCCTCTCTCCCCTGTCGAGGCTCAGGAAAAGGGAGGGATTTGTCAGGAGCAGAACGAGGACACAGCGGCACACATGCTGGCATTGTACTTGTCTTTACTACGGATTCAACAGGCTTAATTTTCAGTATCCATCTCAGTAAGAGAGTTAAGCGCTATAGCAATGTAGCTAAATCATTCCTAAACTGAAAGCAGCAAGGCAGAGGACATACCCAAAAACCAGAATCCTAAACAAAACATAGCAAAGCGCAAGTTAAGACTGTTGAGAAGTAAGCCTTCTCTCACACCAGGGAGACTGTGCAGTTCATTCATCAAAAACTTGAATGTCCATCTACTCCTTGCCAGGCCAAAAAGCATGCAGTGACCAGTTTTGGGGACTGCTACCCTCGTGTGCGCTGAGTTTGAAGCAGATGAACTGAGACTATATGTGCTGGAACTGATCCCCAGGGAGGGTGGGACAAGTTTTTAGAGCCACTAGGCCCACTTTCCTCAAAGAACCAGTAGAGGCTAAATTCACAAGTCATTCTAAACTCCACCGTGTCTTCCCTCCCACAATGGCATTCAATTCTCTGAGCTTCCGTGCCGCTGACACAGTCCTCCCCTCCTCCCCAACATCCTAAACCCTTGCACTGTGCTCTATGGAATCGTTCCACAGTTAAAGTTCCACCGTAATCTCACCTTCTTCTAAATGCTGTCTTCTTCTGTGACTTAGCAGAAATGTGGCTCTTCCCTGATATCACTTCCTAGGTTGTTGTTGATGCTTCCATACCTTATACCCCTTAGTGGTTAGGAGGAGGAATGGTGTCTTATTTGTTCTTTAGTGTTCCTTCTAGACCCTTATTAGTCCCAATCCACTGGGAAAATGCATATTCTTTAGAGGCTCGGCTATTCAGTTCCACCACCAGGTCCTCAGCACTGTTGTCAACTATCAACTTCCAGCCACTCCTCCTCATTCAACAAATTAGTCAGCACCTGGCTCACAGGCTTCTTTCTAACCTGTGCAGAAAGGGGGAGAAACTCTTCACATTACCCCATGTGACTTCACATCTTTACCACACCTTGGATTTTCAGTTCTTCATTACTCTTCTCTTCAAAAGCTATTCTTTCATCTAATCTCCAAGGTCACACATTAGATCTTGTTCTCAAAATAAATGGAATAATTCAGTACATAGTCTTTTGAGTCTGGTTTCTTTCACCTAGCATAATGCTTCTGAGATCCAACCACATCATTGCACATATCAGTAATTCATTCCCTTTTATTGCTGAGTAGTATTTCATCATTCAGATGTATCACAGTTTGTTTATCCATTCACTAGGTGGAAGGCACTACTTTTAAACTTAGCTATCTTTATATATCTGTTGAAAGTCATAAATTGGCTAGGTATTTGTATTGTTTAACTTTGTAAAACTCTACTTAGATTCCTCAAATGTAGGTACTAATAATTATTTCCTAAAGGCTTTATCAAGTACAAATTTTAATTTAATTCTTTCAGCTTTTTCCCTTGTTTTCCATTAAGAGGACATTAAATAATACCCCTCCCATAATAGAGGAAACATATCTCACTTCTAATTCAGCAAAAAAGTTATCACTTTTATTAAACTATTTTTATCTTAAATTCTATAGTTATACTCTGTGAAACTTCTAATCATCTGGGTACTTTAGAGGAAACACTTCTTTCTTATTATAAAAGCCTATAAAGATGGATCAGAACAGACAAAAAGAGGAGAAAACAAGGGGCAAACAAGGTTTAGCAAGAATTGGTAATAGGAGAATCAATCCCAAACCAAAAAGTTGCCAGTATCCAGTGGTTTTAATAGCCATGCTTCAAAGTAAATTCCTCTTCCTTAAACTTTACCTACATTTCATCAAAAAAGTGCAGAAGTTAAGACTTTTGATACTCACTCTCCCCAGGGGTGAGGCATACCGTCTCGTAAGCTCTCTTACAGTCAGCCTACTCTTGTCAGATGCCTCTTCCGTCAGTAAGTCATTAGGCTAACGTGATGTCTATGGTCCTTCCTGCAGCCTCTTCATTCATTTAAGTTCATATTCATAGCTATTTATTTATTGTGTACTTGGTATTTGACAGGCACACTGCTAGGTGCTGAGGTAAAGAGACTTGAAAAGTGAATTGACAGAATAACTTGCTACTCATCTCTTAGAGGTACACACAGGATTGTGTTTCAAGTGCAGCACATCGTGCATGTACTTAATAACCTAAGATTTAGATGCTTTTTATGCATATTTAATCATTTCAAATCATAACTCAGGATACCTACCAGAAAATAACCAGTGGACAATGTGAATGCCTCCTAGTCATCTCATCTCAGCTTCTTATTCTTTTAGGGTTTTCATAAAAAATTTTTTATTATGATAAAATATATATAACAAAAAATTGATCCTTTTAACCATTTTTAAGTTACAATTCAGTGGCATTAATTACATTCAGAATGTTTTACAACCATCACCACTATCTATTTCCAAAACGTTTTTATCAGTCCAAACAGAAACTCTGTACCCATTAAGCAATCACTCCCTTGCTCCCCTCCTCATCCTGTTTCCATCCTAAGCAATTATTCATTCTTTGTGCCTCAACTCACATGGGAACTTCTCTGTAAGACCAACCCTGACAGAATAAACCACATCTTCTGTACCATCTCTTAACCCTGTATATATTTTTATTATTGAAATATCTTCTCATTCTATAACTGTTAAATTCTTCTAGTTTGAGCTATTTGAGGGTAGAATCCAGGACACACAAACAATATGCCAACGATTATTAAAAACCTTTACATTCTTCCCAGCTAACACAGTGCCTGGTGCCGAGTAAACACTCACTACATTTTTGTCCAGTTATGAAAATTATTAGTTGTGGCCTGGCACAGGCATAATTTGGCAGGTGCTGGGCAGGCTCTTTCTGCTAAAAACACTCTTTATCTGGAATATTTATATGAAATATCATAACTCCTTCTAGGTTAATGTATTCTGACTTGTGAATATAACCTTTTAAAATGTAAATAAGGCCTAAGAGAAATAATATATTAGAATCTGTCATCAAAACCTTTAGTGAGAACTAATTTATCAGGCTCTTTCTCCAAAGACAGAGAATGAATGATTTAACTTTGGAGATGAAGATGGAAAAAGAAAGAAGGAATATGCATATGCCAAAAACTCATCAAATCGTATACATCAAATATGTGCATTTTTTCTGTATACCAATTATATCTCAATGAGCTGTTAAAAAGAGAAAGAGAGAAAAGGGATAATTTTGTATAAAAAATACTATTTCAAGATAAGTATGATGCTACTTGGGTGAGAAGGGAGAAGTAATATACTGGAAGCTACTCAAAAAGAAGTCTTCCCATTTTATAATTTTCTAGGACATGCAAGAAACCTTGAAAATACGGTCATAATATTCTTCTCTTTATAGTCAAAGGCAAATGAAATCTACCCATCTACATACTCATACCTCTTATTATAGCATTATTTTCAATAACTGCTCAAATAAAACATTAACCTATAATTTATACTCTACCTGATTCCAAAAAGGTTATGAAGTAACTTACATTAAAACATATGTCAGACGTTACAGTTAAAAGGGATTTTAAAAATGAGACTGGAAATAACTGAATATAATTATTCAAAGAACTTAGGATAAGAGGATTGTAATTAAGTACCATATTACTTTTTTTTTAAAATAAAGATTGTTTTCACATGTTTTACAGCTCTTGAGTTAATAATGTGAGCCCAAACTCCAGACATTTATCACACACCGGGTTTTACTAGCTCACAATGTAAGCGGAAGATTGGGGAAGGGATTGCGAGATTAACTTCACGCCTGGATTTTTCTTCTGCCCTTTTCTGCCTTTAGGAGCCCTTCTCCTTTAACTGTCTCTGGTTGATGATCAGTTAAGCACAGTGATTACAGTTGGGTTTGATGACAGACCAGCACTCTGAAAAATATTGTGGAATCCTGAGCTGTGGGGCAAAAGAGACTAGACAATCCACACTGTGTCACTGTCGCCAGCAAAGGAGAAGTCAGCTACTCTTTTTTTTTTTTACAGTGGAATTTACTTTTTTTTTTTCATTTTTTTCATTTGTTTGTTTATTTTCAGATGTACATCATAATATATTTGGAATTCTGTATAGATTACATCATGTTCACCACCCAAAAACTAACTATAGTCCATCCCCTTAAGTAACATATTTTAGTTGTAAACTTCTGGGCAACTTCTGAAGGGCTGGAAAAGAACTTTGCCTGAATCTCTTCTTTGTTCAAGCAATCAAGATCATTCACACTTTAAAATATTCTTATCAATCTTTCACAATGTTTTTTGAGGAGAAAAATATCTCATTTCTTCCTCAAGTATTGGAAGAGAATATGCAATAAGGAAAATGTTTACTTAGAGTTTGCTTAGACTCCAGGTTCATTTGAATATTCTTATTAAAGTTGATGTGCCAATCTTTCTGGAGTCAAATCACTGATTTACATGAAAGTATATTCTCCGCACATGTGGTTATATGCTTTACATAAAATTTATATAAGAAGTTATTTTAATCTGTAGCTCAAGCTTAGTTCAAAGATTATGATCACCAATATAAAAATGGCTAAACATGAAAAGAAACAACACTAGTCTATCCGAACAGAAAAAGAACCACCGAATTACCTTGATTGTTACGTGTATTCTACAGGACTGAATTAAACCTTAGAACTACTTCCTCTTAGATAAAAAAAAAAGAGCAAATGAGATAACTTCTTTCCAAGTCTGGGAACACATGGTCCTGAACTGCAGTAACATCATTTGAGACTTTCACTAATATTTGGCATAACTACAATTTGAAGCATGACAAGCATCTTAGTTATGTTATAAACCTTAACTATTATATTTTGAATACATTGTTTAAGTTATTTCTCCATTTACAACATGTGAGAATACTATAAGAATATGGAGAAACAGTTGTTAAAACAAGCAAGCTACATATTAAAATAAAAATCTTATTTTGACTGATCCTGTCCTGAAATCCATGTTAGAAAGACTCTACAGCTAGCACTTTCTGTCCTGAGGGGGTGGAGGAGAGAAGGGAAAGGCGAGAAGGGGAAGTGCCTTACATAATTCAACAATGACTGATTTGGCAAAGTACGAAATAGTCTGAATTGACTCCAAAGACAAAAGAAATCCTCTTTTAATCTCTTAACTACAAAGATTATAACATCACTTCCAGAAAGACACAGCACATGGGACAGCTGACCATAACATTTTAAAATATATCTAAGCTACTACACAAAAACATAGGAGAAAAAAAATTGATAAAAATGATTTAGTATTATAACACTGACATTATTAAAATCAAAAATTAAATTATAAATTAAACTTACATGGCTGCTACGTAGTTTAGATTGATACCTAAAAATCTCTGTCAAGACAGTTTTTTTCTCAACGTATATGTGAATACCAAATAAATAGAGCACACATACTTCAGTGACTAGAGAGGAAAGTTAAGGTTATGGATTCCATCAAATGAGATGGATTTTAAGTGGAATATCATATAAAAATCATGCATATATAAAATACACATATTTTGGAATTATCAGTTCAAAAGCCTTATTGACTTTTTTTTATCATTTATTTAAAGTTATGATATAAGTTAATATAAGTTATTCTGTAAATAGTGGGAAAAACTTGACAGAGAAAAAATTTACAATAAACAGATGAGTCTATACAACACAAAAAGTATAAATTACCAGAAATACTCAACTTTATAGATCATTTAGCCATAAACTTAAAAATAGTTACAGATAGCATCCTAACTCCATCACATAACAGTTGTGACCCTAGCCCAGTTACTTAACCTTTCTTAAGACTCCAACTTCTCATTTGTAAAGTGGAAATAACTCTGTCAACCTCCTAAGCAGCAACGATTAAATGAGATAATAGATGCAAAGGCCTACATAGGTGCCTGGCACACAGCTAACTTAACAAGTGTTTACAACTATTATTTTATTATACCCTCTCCTTCAAAATACGTCCGCCAAAACTGTCAAACAGACTGGGTTCTGCATTTTTAGTGACTGCGTTTCATTTTTAATTTTTATCACATTTGGAAAGCCAATCATACATACCACTTCATTTTTCCATCAACAAAATTATCATAATTGGCAATGAATCACATTATATAAAATACAAAATGAATCTTTCCTAAAATATGCTCAAGCCAAAAAGCTTGCTAATTAAAAAAAAAAAAACAACAAATAAAAACATCTTGTCCTGTACATCTTTTGCCACATGGAGATATGAAGAAGAAAGTCTCCTTGGTTGGTCCCTCTGTAAGTTCAGTGACATTTAATAAGAGCTGATTCTTTTTAACCACATTAATTTAAAAAGAGAAGCCATACAGTCAACTTACTTGATGAAGATCATTGCCCAGTGCATACTCTTCAAAGTAGCCTGGCGCAGCGGAGGAGGCTCTAATGGCTTGCCACATTTTATACTGACAGCCTCCCAAATAGTGAGAGTTGATACCAGGAAAATGACCATAGTTTCTGAACACAAAAGCTTTCGGCGTTATCCCTCTGTTGACTATGGTACTTACGGCAGCTACCTAATGAATTAAAAAATGAACAATACCCATTGTAAGCAGCAATATTTGGGATTTGTAAAAATTAAATATTTAGTACTATGAATGAACAACCTACAACTCTATCCATCAGGATAAATGTGTAGCATAACTATAATGTTAAGCAAAGGGAACAAGATCTTTTTAAATAGGTATTTCTTTATGGCAAAATAGATACAAGAACTGAGAATTTTGAGAAATGTCTTATAAGACAGAGGTAAATACAAGATATTTTTGACTGTATGATAAGCTATTTAAAAGGACATTCAAGAAGGCATAAATTTGCAGACCTTTATATAATAATTGATACAGCAGTAGTAGGAATGAATAAAAATCATTTAAAGATGAATAAATACACTATTTTCATAATATTATTTACAAAGTAGTCTTTTTCTGTGCTCTTTGAAAGCATTATGACTTTAGTAACTGACATGCCAACACTACACAAACTCTCAAGGTTTTCTGATCACAGTTAATAACTGGCAGCTGGGTAGTTTCTTTTTTACTAAAAACCTAATGCTGATCACCCTCGGTCTCAGATATTGATGTCAGTTGAATTTATGTAAAATGTGCTGTATTTGTTAACGATCTGCAATATAAACTTAAGATGAAAGGTATTGATGAAGCCAAAGTTGTTAGGGTCCTGTGCCAAGCCCTCCGGGGACCTGTTTGCTTTGCTATTTTATAAAGCAAAGGTCATATCTCAAATTCCTGTGAGAGATTCAACTGTGTCTCGGAGCCACTGTAGGTAAGAGTTGGCCATACACTAAAATCCAGAGGGTCTTTCTGTTAATTGGTCCAAAGACAGGCTGAATTAAGAAATGCAAGGGTCGTTGCTCCTATTTATCATGAATGAATTACTTTTTCAGGTGGCTAATGGTCTCCACACCCACCCTATTCTTCTATTTAAAGTTGGCAACTCCCACAGTTTCAAAATAAACAAATAAGAAGCCCTGAAGATACAGGGGAACAAACAGGTGTGGAGTACATCCAACAGTGTTCTCCGAAAGAGCCATGTGCATCTCATTATCATGGCCTCGAAGGCCCTGCCTGGTCACCCACTCCAGCCTCATGTCACGCACTGTCCTCAGAGGCTCAGGCCCCAGTCTTCAGGAACTCTTCCAGTTCCTCCATTTCACCACGACTCCTCCTGCACAGGTCATCTTTTTGCCAGGAACCCTCCTACTCATCAGCCTTCACACTGAGATCTCAACTCTCATTTCCTTAGAGTAGCCTTCCTTCATGTCCTGGTACAGGTATACTTTCAGAGAACTGTTTCTGTGCCCCACAGCACGCATTTCAGGGAAACCACATCTCACGTGTGGGGTTATCTGATTAATGCCTACTTTGCCCTACTGAACTATAAGCTCCATGTCTGCATTTACTCACTGAGGTGTCCGACGTGCCTAGCACAGTGCTGGCATGCTGGGTACATAATTAACATCTAAAGAAGGAATGAAAATATGAACAAGCAAGAATCAAAGAGCAATAGAAGAAGCTGTATTTGATTCTTCATGGTTACACCTTGTCATCCAGGAATAAATATAAGCCACATGGGATTCCTAAGTACATAAATCCTATTCCTTAATCAAGTTATATTAAAGAACACAGAACTCAAGCAATATTCAGATTATTGGGTTTCAAACAAAATAAATAAACAGAGAAGCCACATTAAGGCATACCCTAGTGACATTAACATTTCTAAAACTGGGATTTCATTCGTGCGTTAATTTAATATATGTCTAAAAGGCACATATAACTTCTTTTAAAAAATCTAAGGGACGAAATGCCACAATTTTCCTTAAATCACTAGATTTGATTAGCTCTTATAATAAAATAATTCTTTCTTATTTTTAGTCCCAGAGTTTCACGTTCTTAAACTTTTGCTATATTTCTATTGAATATAGAAAAAACCTAATGATCACATCCTATATCTTCATAGAATGACCCAGTATATAAGGAATCAATATTATCTATTCAAGGAGGTTCCTAAGAAATTTTTCCCTGAATAAAGGGCCTTCAGAGTAAGTGCTTTCACCTGACCTTCAATTCCAACTAGGTGTTATATTGAAAAGACTCTAAACTTACCTTAGGACATGTGGGGTTTCTTGCTGTTTCAATCATTAGTGAAGATCCCATTCTATCCCTTTATTAAAGGAGAAGAATTAAATTACATCAAAATGATTTTATCTCCTAACATCAGGGAACACACACTACGCAATTACTGTTTGCTCTTGGCTTTGTCAAAGTGCTATGAGGGACGAAAAAGAAGTCTAAGAATCTCCTCTAGGAGCCTTGTACAGTCATGTGTTGCTTAACAACAGGGATATGTTCTGAGGAACGCCTCATTAGGCAATTTTGTCGTTGTGCAAACATCACAGAGTGTAGTGACACAAACTTAGACGGTATAGCCTACTACACACCTAGGCTATACACAACTAGGCTATACGGTAGTAATCTTCTAGGACCACCATCATATGTAAACAGTCCGTCGTTGACTGAAACGTCACTATGCAGCACATGGCTGTAATCCAATTAATGCACATGAAACAATATGTAGTTAGTTATTAACTTCTGATTCAAACTGCGAGTATCTACAGTTCTTGGGGTGGACGGGGAATCAACACAGGCTGTGGCAGCAGGGACAGATGCACGGAGGTATAGCTTGACAAGGACACCAAAAGATGGCAAGACACCACACTCAAAGCCAGGACATTTACAGGATACAGGCGCAGAGGCAGAATAAATCTGTTGTTTTCAGGGTCCTCCTGACAGGATAAAGGAGATGTGTTGGGATAAGACTGCAAAAGTATAGGCAGACTAGTCAGAGAGTCATCCAACAACCAGATCAGGACATTTTCTCTTTAAACTTGTTTCAGCAATACAGAGCCAATATCATCCTCCAAAAAGGCTTTTTAAATCATCTGAGTTGGCATTTGAATTACTGCAACATTATAGAAATTGTTCTTGGGCAGCAATTTCCACAATTCCACAATAAGACAGGAATTTTATTTGAGTGCAGATTTTTCCATACTTAAAAATTATGCATTTTCCCCCATATTGAATATAAAAGACGATTTTTTTTACCAACCTGCCTCAATAAGAAAAAATTTTTCTAAAGACATTTTCCACACAGTACTCACATTCCTCAACAGAATCTGAGTGAATTTCAAATAAGGCAGAATTTACAAATTAAGTAGTGATCTACCCTTTACAATCTTTTACAAATATCAATGTAAAATACTTGTTAAAGAGGAGAAGATCTTTCTTTCTCAACCTGATCTATACATTTCTTTTGCACGAAGATCAATGCAATTTTATTCTCCTAAGGGTCTTGCACTTTATCTTTTCATAGAAATCTTGCTGTAAAATTGGGACAGAATTCCTGGGAGCATGCTGCTTTCCCACAAGCAAAGTTCACATTTATTTTTTGTTTAAAGTTTGATTTTAAAAACAGAATTAAAATGCTTTAGTGAATTAAATTTAGAAATACAAATTCAAAGAGAAAGTCAGGAACATTAATTGCTTATTGAAAAGAGACGTCAAAATAGCAAAAAATTCTTAACACTCCTAGCTTGTACTGAAGCTATAATTAAAAAGTGTCCCTAAAATAACACAAAATCATTATCACAGAAAAATACATAAAAATGCCCTCAATAAACAATGAGCCTGGGTTTGAACGGCTTCCGTCAATGGGACATCAGCAAACACGCCATCAAACTGAGGCTTGCTAACTACTTATGCCCTGGGAACTGCCCTCGTGGAACTCTGAGACCGCCAGGATGGGAGGCAGTCCAGGACGAGAATGACTATGTGGAGAGGAGACCAGCTGTCCCAGACACCTCGGCTGAGCTGCCAGCTGCCAGCAGCCATGTGAGTGAGTTTAGACGAGAACAGAAAAAACGCCCAGTCAAACCACAGAATCATGACACTAAACCATCGTTGTTTTAAACCTCTAACTTTGGAGTGGTTTGTTTTACAGCAAAGGCTGAGTAGAAAAGTAGGGAAAGAAAAAAACAACTAACCATACTTAGGAAGTTTATCAATGCTCTGATTAAAAATGAGGAAGCTTTTGAAGGAGCACCAGTAAAACAGCAACATGCAAATACATGAAGATAGTCTAATGAGTAACAAAAGGAAAAAAATATTTCATAGCAGAGAGACTAGTTTTACTGTAAATTTTCAAAGCTTCATTAAAAAATCTTACCAGTATTATGATTTTATGATTTCATGAGAACTGATACGAACTCTTTTTTTCTAACAGACACAAAAGAAGACCCGAAAATAAGCAAGATACACATCAATGGATGGAAGATTACTCAACTGGAAAACTGTCAATATTACACAAAAGAACTGCTATCTTTCCTGTAGTTTCAATCAAAACATCAGTGGGGTTTTTTCTTATGTGATAAAAAGTAACCTAAGATTTACTTCAGAGATTAAAAAGAAAATGGCGAACAGAATTGTGACTAGGAGAAAGGACTTGATATATCAATACAAAAACATTACGAAACGCTCAATAACTAAACAAAGAATTTGGACAAAAATTTAAAAAATCAATATAGAAAAACAAAAACTTGGACGCAGACTCAAATGTAGATAATTTAAAATATGATAAAGGTGGTGTTTCAAATCATTAAAAAAAAGAAGGAAAAAGTACTTTGTAAAAGGTACAGGGATGTTTGAATTAATATTTGAGAAAATTAAAGTTTGACCCCCTTACAATACACATCAAAATAAATTTCTGATGACTTAAGAATTAAAAATAAACTTAATTAAACCCGAGAACTAGAAAATAATATAAAGATTTACCTGATTTCAAGGTAGAAAAGACTTTCTAAACATAAAAGCAAAGTTAAAAATGAAAGGAAAAGATTTGACTAAATGAAGATTTTAAACTGCTTTACATTAAAAAAATAGTTAATTAAAAAGCATGTTTTCAACATATAATAAATGGATAATATATTTAAAATATAGTAAAGAATACTCTGATAGGAAAATGAGCAAATACTATGCCCTTGAATGTCACACAAAAAAGAAATATAATAAAAAAAATAAAAAATGTTCAAACTCATCAATAACCAAAGTGATGCAAACTAGAAACGTCATTTTAAAAATAAACTGACAGTTTTAAAAATTAAAATGTTTGGTGTTCCTAAATATCTCATAACTGGAAATACAATCTGATGCTGGCAGGTAAGTTGGGATAACCATTTTCAAGAACAATTCAGAGAGAGAGATATATATACACACACACACATATACATGTATATCTGGTGATTATTAAAACATGTATACTCTCTGACCCAAAATTTCACTCTAGAAATTTACCCTGAAGATATAATCCGAGATTTAAGTAGAGATATAGGATGTCCATCTAACCTTTATTTTGAACTGTAAAAATATCTAAAGTATCCTCCTTTATCAATAAGGAATTCATTAAATAAAAAATAGTACATCCATAAAATGAGATAGTGAAAAACTATTAAAATATGTCTCAAAAAATATTTAACAACATAGGAAATCTTTTCTTTTTTGCTGGGAAAGAGTCCCTCTGAGCTAACATCTGCTACCTTTCTTTTCTTTTTTCTCCGCAAAGCCCTAGTACGCAGTTGTATATTCTAAGTGTAAGTCCCTCTAGTTCTTCTATGTGAGCCACTGCCACAGCACGGCTACTGATGGACAAATGGTGTGGGTCTACACCTCGGAACTGAACCCGGGCCACTGAAGCAGAGTGCAGTGAACTTTAACTGCTGGGCCATCAGGGCTGGCTCAGGAACCCATTCATGATAAAACGATAAGTGAAAAGGCAGGATACAAAACTACATGTGCCTTATCATTGCAATTTTGTGAAGGGAATAAATACACACTCATGCTCCCCTATGCACAAATACTTATTTATCTGTAAGAAATTCTAGAAACAAGTACATTACCGTGTTAATAGTGCTTTTGTTCTTAGTGAAATTATAAGTTATTTTAGTTGTTTTCTTTAGACATTCTCTATTGCCTATATAAAGATTATATTTAAAAGACATCAACAATGACCCAATACTTACGCTTCTTAAACTGACCTATTGATATATTCTAAAATGTGGGCAGAAATGTAAATTTTCCTACCACAGCATTGTTCATAATCACAAGAAATTAGGAACAACATAAATGTCCTAAACATAACTGATTAAGAAAATATGGTATCATCACACTGTGGAATGTAGTGTAGTCTTTACAAATTTGTCAAGAAAATTTAATAAAGTTGGAAAAAAGGGAAAGAATATAAAATTATAACTGTAATATAATTTCCGCTATATAAAATGCATATAGTCTAGGAAAAAACTAGAAGGAAATATATTGCAAGATCTAGCTCTGGATAATAAGATTCTGGGTGATTTTTGTGCGTGTATGTGTGTGAGGAAGATTGGCCCTGAGCTAACATCTGTTGCCAATCTTTCTCTTTCTTGTTTGAGGAAGATTGTCACTGAACTAACACCTGTGCCAATCTTCCTCTATTTCATGTGGGATGCCTCCACAGCATGGCTTGATGAGCAGTGCTAGGTCTGCACCCAGAATCTGAACCTGCAAACCTCGGGCCACCGAAGCAGAGCATACAAACTTAACCACTACACCACTACACCACGGAGCTGGCCAAGATTGTGGATGATTTTAAGTTTCTATTTTATGCTTATATTTTTGGAATGTGAGTATAATGGCTTTGTAGCATTTTGGAAGAGAAATGTTTAAAAATTACTAAATGTTTTAGGAGTATATCTGTTAATGACTTGAGAAAGACTAATATGCTAAGTAAAAACAAGAGGATGCAAACATAGTCCACATACAATGTGGTCTCAATTTTTACAAAGGCCCTTTTGCACCTGTACATGCAAATCTCACACACATGAATCCAAGAAAATTGACTAGAATATGATTCACCAAAATTTTAACAGTGGTTATCTCTGATTATTGGGATCAATAATTTAATATTATTCTTTACCTTTTTTCTGCGTTTTTCAAATTATAATATACACATATTGCCTATATAATCAAAACATTTTAAAGAAGAATAATTGTAACTTACTTAAGAATATTTTCCCATGTCTGACTGTCATAAAATGCATGGCTCCAACTCATTTTGACTGTTCCAACAATGACGTTTTGTGAAAACACATCTGATCCTAATTTTCGATAAAGTTCCTCACATTCATCCAGGGGCATATGAAACAAGCCCAACATGAATGCTAATATAGCACCTGAAAGAAAGAATCCTTCGTTTTATCAGCGTTGGCATTACATTACAGTACTAAACACATCTCCTGAATCACAGACCTGCTTCAAGTTCTAGCTTCGACACTTTCTAACTGTTACTTGGACAAACTACTAACCCCTCAGAGCTCCAAGTTCTCCATCTATAATATAAGGAGAATAACAACAACCAAGATTTATAAGGTTCTTATATCAGGATAACACATACACAGGGCTTTACCAGGCCTCAGTAAGGATTAAAGGAATGCTAACAATGATCATGATGATGATGATTTAAAAATATATAAAAATGGGGGCTGGCCCCGTGGCTGAGTGGTTAAGTTCGCGCGCTCCGCTGCAGGCGGCCCAGTGTTTCGTTGGTTCGAATCCTGGGCACGGACATGGCACTGCTCGTCAGACCACGCTGAGGCAGCGTCCCACATGCCACAACTGGAAGAAGCCACAACGAAGAATATGCAACTATGTACCGGGGGGCTTTGGGGAGAAAAAGGAAAAAATAAAATAAAAATAAAAAAAATATATAAAAATGGGTTGTTTTACATTAAATCAAAAAATATATAATTAAGATATTGTCATAGATAACGTGCTTTCTAACCTTAAAAAATTCCTTAGTTTTAGTCACAGAATACAGTATATTTGACATCTTACCAATTCATTAAAATAATTACTCCTTCAGGTAGGTCCTGGGATGTTAAAGAAATTAAACATAATTAAAGACATTAGGTCTCTGGGCTGTCTTCTGAACAGCTGACTGCATATCCTAGCTGCAATTGGTAGGACACACTGCCACCTAGTGCACCCAACTGGCCTAACCCTGAACTAAGGAGAAAAAGGGGAGGAGGAAGCTTGGGGTATGGGGAGGGGCTGGGATGGGCAAAGACCCATATAGCATGACTGTTTACCCTGAGACTGAGAACAAAGGAAAAACAGGAAGTCACTATCATAATGTATTTTAAATATTTTATGTATTTTATTATACTTAGTCTTATTCTAGTAAAAGGTAAGACTGCTTATGTCTTCTGCATAAGCAATTTGCAGAATTCTGCAATTTTCCAATTTGCAGAAAATTTCTAATTAACACAAATAACTTGCCAAAAAGATTAAGTCCCTTTCTTTTTCTTTTTTTTTTGGTTTTTGGTGAGGAAGATTGTCACTGAGCTAAGATCTATGCCAATCTTCCTGTATTTTGTATGTGGGATGCTGCCACAGCAAGGCTTGATGAGCAGTGTGTAGGTCTGTGCCCACAAACCCTGGGCTGCCAAAGTGGAGCATGCGAACTTAACCACTACACCACTGGGCTGGCCCCTAAGTCCCTCCTCTCTAAGTAGAGCTACTATAAAGATAAGTAGATATTAAAAAACTGAATTTTACTGAACTGGTAAAGACATTACCCTTAAACTAAATATATATTTATTAATTTAATAAAAATTATAAGTACAAACAAAACTTCTAACATTATCAAAACATTATAATACACCAAATGTAAAAGAAAAAAAGGAAAATTATAAGCACTGTAATATGAGTTAAGGTTAACATAAGCTAGAAGACACAATGGAAAAGATATATTGTGATAAACACAGAAATGTACATAGTACATAAACTGATATTCTACTCCACAGATGAATGTCTGTGATTTACAATTCTCTTTACTGAGCACCCACTAACAATGATGCCAAAGCTAGGACCATTCCAAAATTTAACTGAAATGGTCCGGGTAATAGCTGCAAAAAAAGTACCAAAGAACACTAGCCCTGGGAGATGTCTCTTTAAGAAAAGTTTCCATAGTTAAATCAATTGGGGATATACATACTATTTTCCTATCCTGAGAGTCACAATGCATTTTAACATACTAAAAGCCCTCAGAAGGCCCTCTGTAAAGAAATCTGTTTAATTTCTTTAGCCTAGCATTCTACAAATTTGCTAACATTTTGAGGAATTAGTGTTCAGTGGAACATCATAGGAATCACTGCTTCCTTATGCTTTTGAATCATCCTTGCAACTGCTCTCATCTAGTTTTCACAATTAAGCATTGATTAATATGCCCTATGGGAATATCTGTCATCCTTGACACAGACAATGTAGAGAAATCATTTGATTTTGTTGCTAGTGGTCTTTAGAACTACTATTATAAGTCAAAAGAATGGGAAAAAGAAATAAAAGTATAAGTCTACAAAGATAAACTAACATAAAGTGAGAAATTATCAGGTCAAACGGTGGTAAAACATACAGCAAGGATGCACAATGCTAATGGTCCTGGAGTGCTGCCTGGGAAGTAAGCAATAGCTAAGGTATTCTGAGCGGCTTAATGTGCATTCTGTGGAGGGGAGGCCTGGGGCAGGGGGTTGGGGGCGGGGGAGGGTAGACGGGTGAGAGAGCTGATGTGAGGAAACAGAAAAACAAACCAAACAGAAACAAAACAAAAATTCATCTGAGGTGAGTCAACGAAAACTAAGAAATTATTCAGTAACTACTGTATTCTAAGTTGCCAACTTCCAGATAAACATGAAACTATAATTTTAAATGTACATCAACTAGCAATATTAAAAAGTAGCCTTTAAAAACAAAGATTCTCACATTTATCAATTTAAATCCTGGCTTCAAATAACCAGATAAAAATTGATGTAAGAAGCAATTTCCTCACAGAGGGACACCTCTTACAAAAAAGTAAAATCTTACCCATCTTTAATAATCTATTGGTCCAATTTGACCACCCACCTTCCTTTCCTTTCATCACTTTCCTTAAGGTGACTACACCACAAAGCAATAATTCATAATTTGTACTTGTCACTGTGGTCTATTTAAAACATATTAGAAAAGCACATTAAAAACTATTTCTGAATGTTAACTTATTTCCAACAAACATTTTTAAAATTCATTAAGCAAACCAACGGATTATGCTTCATCAAAACATGAAACCAATACCACCATTTCAGAGAATGACCATGCTCTTAAACACAAGCGCTATGTTCTTTTTCTTAATGCACCGCTGGGATGCAGCACGTACATGTAATGACAATTACCTGTGCTTACACCACAAATGTAATCAAAGAGCTGATGGACTGGCTTCTGAGTAAGTTCAACTAATTTTCGTAGTGTCTGAAGAGCAACCACACCCCTGTAGAAAAGACAGAGGGCAAAATGAGGATTCCCGCTTCAAGCAAAGTTAAGTTACTGAATGAGACAATCCTGCAAACTGCTCTTCTAGCTTATATGCTAACACGAAAATAAATAATATAAATTAGCATCAGTAAAAACTGCCTAAGTTTTGGGGATCACTTCCAAAAATCCAATATCTAAATAATGGTATAAACCTGTGTTATGGCAGCACATTTTTAAACGTATACTAGTATTTCTTTAAATAAGACTACAGAGGGGCCAGCCTCATGGTGCAGTGGTTAAGTTTGGCGTGCTCTGCTTTGCCAGCCCAGGTTCACAGGCTCAGATCCTGGGGGCAGACCATTAAACCACTCATCAGCCGCCCTGTGGCAGTGACCCACATACAAAATAGATGAACGCTGGCACAGATATTAGCTCAGGGTGAATCTTCCTCAGCAAAAAAAATAAATAAATAAAAAGACTACAAGGATCTACAAGGATACACCAATATAAGATATGTTCTTTTTTTAAAGATTTTATTTTTTTCCTTTTTCTCCCCAAAGCCCCCTGGTACATAGTTGTATATTCTTTGTTGTGGGTCCTTCTAGTTGTGGCATGTGGGACGCTGCCTCAGCGTGGTTTGATGAGCAGTGCCATGTCTGCGCCCAGGATTCGAACCAACGAAACACTGGGCCACCTGCAGCGCAGTGCGTGAGTTTAACCACTCGGCCACGGGGCCAGCCCCCTAAGATATGTTCTTAAACACCTCAACTGTGGAAGATACTTAAAACCTCTGCTCACCAGTTTTGGAATGCCATATATTGGTTTCTTCTCTTACCTAAGCTTCTATACATTTTGTTTTACATATTTCACTAGTCATATTTTTAACGTTTATTTTATTTATTCATTTTTTAAAACTCAATGACCTTAGTACAATGTACTAAGCATGTAAGGATGTATTAATTTATGCTGCTGACTTTGGTCATTTCTGGATCCTTGCCAAGGCAGCAAACGGCTTCATAATGAATGTGAAAGATGAAATAGTCTAGGAGGTGTAGGCCAATTCAGTGTATGTGTAACACATGGACAACTCTTAACATTGGGAGAATATATAGAAACAATGAAATGTTCTAATCACAATACAAGGTGTAGGGCAGAGAAGTCCTGGAACACAGCAGCAGTCAGGCACCACAAAATAAAATTTAGAGTGTCAAATTGTGCTTTCATGCTGCTAACAGGAAATCACTAGAAAATACCATAAGATTAAAGTAGAAAACCAAAGATGTTGAGTTTTTTTTAATTGCAAGAAGTAATGTGGATTTGAAGAGACACGATGGCTTATAAGAGAGATACATTATGAATTCAATGTGAGACATGAAGAATTAGAGAAAATGCCAGATAAAATATATTTAACAACGTAACCTCTATTATCCAATAAAAGGGAAATAAAACATGCACATATATTCACACAGAAAAAAAATTCGAAGAAAGAAATCAAAATATTAAAAGTAATCTTGGAATTGTGAGCTCTAATTTTTGTTTTTTTCTTTATATTTTTCTTTTTTTCCCCCTCCCAAGTTTTACTTGTACAATCAAGAAGAAAACTATTTAAAAATGCTATATTTATAAATTAATTCAGGATAAATTTAAAAATAAATATACTTGCCAGGTTGATTCTATACACCTAACACTGTACTAGGCTCTCTCATACAAAAGAAATAAAAGCTATGGGTTCTTTGTCTCACAAGCCCTCATCTCTTACTCCTTTCCACATAAATTTCCCATTCTGGCTGCTTTCTCATATTCCCCTAAACCAAGGTTTCTCAACAGCAGCACCACTGACATTTTGGGCCAGATAATTCCTTGTTGTAGGGGGCTATCCAATGCCTTACAGGATATTTAGCAGCAACTGTCCTCTTCTCAGTGGATGCAAGTGGGAGTCCCCAAGTCGTGACCAGCAAAAATGTCTGCAGACACTGACAAATGTTCTCTGGGGGCAAAAGTGCCTCCAGTGGAGAATCACTGATCTAAACCCACCTGCACCCTACCCACCTCCAGGTCTCCCCAAGTATCTGCACTCCGACTTCCTCCCTATATGACTAACAGAACCCGTATCCTATAAAACCAAACACTTATGGTCACAAACCTCTTTTCAGCATGCCTCCCTCACTTGAAATAGATATTTGAATGCCTTTTAAGGTTCTTTCAGATCTCTACTCAAACGTTACTCCATCAGAAAGTCATAGTCACGATAACTCTTTAAAACAGCACTGTTCCTCTCCATCCCTTTACTTTGCTTTACTTTTCTTCATAGCACCCATTCCTACTCATTAACATATTTTTGTTTTTCTATTTGTCGTCTCTTCCTCCTCTAGAAGGCAGCCACCACGAAGGCTTGGATTTTGTCTGTTTTGTTTAGAGTTACCCCAAGATCTAAATCAGTGTTTAGAACATAGTAGGCATTCAGTCAAAACTTGTTAGTGGATTCAAGGAACGAACCATCCCTCCCAACTCCTCTGAACTTAATGGCAGAGAGGACTGGCTTCTTTCTGCTTCTCAGTGAAATTCCTTACTCATTAACTGCCATTTTACCTGCTTCTCATCACTTGGAACCAATGCTATGAACCAGAATGATTCTCTCGAATTCACTGCCACTTTATCTATCACATGAATGACATTCACCTTCTTGGATTATTTCACTTCCCTCAGAAACATCCAAAAGATCTTCTAAGACTCTTCTCTCCTCAACCAATTCTATCTTCTTCTGTCGACCGAGCACTTCTACATGGCTGTGTGAAACCTTACACTCAATACGTCCAAAACAGAAGTGTCTTTCTCAATACCAGTCACCTCCTCCCCCGTCCTGCAATTCTGTCCCAGTCATCCACACAGTTTACGCTTAAGAGTGATCTTGACCTATTTCTACCATATCCAGTCCTCCTCCTTTTTTCAAAATTTTCTTGCATATATTTCCTTCCTCCTGCTTCCCACTGCCACCAGCTGGTTAGTATTTTATTGTCCTCTGCCAGATTATTAAATAGCCACCTTCTCTCATCACTCACTCCTTCCTTCAAACTGGTGTCAAAATTTAAAAGACCTGGCTGACACACAGGACTGCAGAATTTAACAAAAAGACAGAGGTGGTACTTGAACATACAGAAGAGCGATTGGCAAGGCAGGTATTCCAGAGAGTGAAATCAGAGAGGTAAATTAAAGCTAAGAACAAGAGGCAGAGCATGTACTATGAATCTAAGAGGTAAGAGCAGAGATGGCAGGCAACCCGAACCCAAGCTAGAAAGTATGGGGAGAATGGTTCATAAACCAAGCTGAAGAAATCTACCCAACAAGTAGTAAGGAACTAGACAAACTACGACAGGATAAGAAGCATGGATGGATTGCCAGTAGCAAGAATGGAGCTTGACGGTGAGCTAAGAATGCACTAAATATTTCCTGCGTGGCACCAGAATTGGCACCTGCAAGAGAAGATATAGGGACTCAGCAAGTTATTGATATGGACTCCTTTTACAACTGTCACTTTATTAAGTGACTAGTTGACTGATACATATGGGTAAGAAAAATATAATTTAAAAAAGCTAACATAAAACATTGCCAAGATTTTCAGATCATGATAAACTGTCCTCAACTACAAAAAATATCTGAAAAGACCAAACTAAAATATAAATATTAGGACAAATTGAAATAAGAGGAAATTCAAGTATATGTTAAGGAAGCATTTAGACTGATAAAGTAATAAATTAAGAAAAACTATTTTATGTTTTATTTAAAAAATCTGATTTTAGGCCCAGCCCCAGTGGTCCAGTGGTTAAGTCTGGCGCGCTCCACTTCAGCAGCCCAGGTTCGTTTCCCTATAACATCATCTGTCAGCGGCCATGCTGAGGTGGCGGCTCACATACAAAAAGAAGAAGATTGGCAACAGATGTGAGCTCAGGGTGAATCTTCCTCAGAAAAAAATAACTAAAAAAATTTGATTTTATAATGATATAATTCCACGAAATCAGTTTAAAAAATTCCTAAGGCTGAACTGGATCCATAGTCTTAAAAAATCATTTTTTTGCCTTACCTTGTTCCTCCACCATCAATTGCGAGAATTCGGATTCCTCTTCCTTTCACTGGATCTACATAGCCGATTAAAGCCAAAATTTCTCTGACTGCAGCCTGAAGAGTTTCATCCTTAATTTGTCGCAATCGTAATAAACACGGAATAATTTTTTCCTAAAGTGAGAGAAAAGATATTTTGTTGCTTCTGTCAAATCAAGATTGAAAACATATGATTATTTTTAACACACGTAGATCATCACGCATAATCAAAGTTGAAGTGTTTACTACTTTCTCAGTAATCTTAAATAATAGATTAGTTTTTGACATCTTGGTCAATATTTAGAATATATATTTGTCCTAATATCCAGGTCAAAAATTAACCTCTATCCAAGTATTTTCTTTGAAAGGTACAATGCTTAACAATTAGAGAAAATATAATTTGCTTTGCACAAATTTACAAAGTATTAATTGATATAACAAAAGGTTAACATTATAAATTTTATATAAAATTTTGTCCAAATCCTAAAGAAAATGAAACTGCTTCACAGTAATTACTGGAAATTAAACTTGTTATTAAAAGAAAAAGAATAAACCATCTGTGTACACTGCAGATGGGGTACAAGGATAGCTCACAGCAAAATACGGACAAATGTTAATTAATAAGTAAAACTAAGGTAGAAGGCAAAAGCTGACCATTACAACTGAAGAACTAGTTTAGACAAACCTAGGACTTCAAGATACTAAGCATTCAACTTCACACTGTTAATCAGAGGCAAGAACTTAAACCCTAGGGTTCTATGTCGAGTTTACTGAAGATTCTCCAGGTTCTGTGCACAGAAGCATCTTATCTGGTCAGTACCCCAGGTTTAAGGGAATAGTTGAGTGGCAGCTATACTTGTGCTGTGTAACCTTCAGTAAATCAAATAAGTTCCCAATGTATCATTCATTTTGTTTCTTTTTTATGATAAGTCAAATCTCAAATACTATTGTTCTAAATTCTTTTTCCTTTTTTTGTTCCCTGGCTAGTGTTAAGCTCCAAGCCCACTAGAGGAACCTGGACAAAGGTGGAGACAGAAACATAAATTTTCATTTCTGGTTAGGATAGAATAGTCTCTTTCCAAGAACAATTGGAAAAGTTTGAAAAAATACAGAAGAAATGCCATCTGTTTAAAAGCATCAGAGCAGAGCCGGCTCCGTGGCCAAGTGGTTAAGTTCGTGCACTCTGCTGCAGCGGCCCAGGGTTTTGCTGGTTCAGATCCTGGGGGTAGACATGGCACCGCTCGTCAGGCCACGTTGAGGTGGTGTCCCACATGCCACAACTAGAAGGACCTGCAACTAAGATATTCAACTATGTTTACCAGGGAGGATTTGGGGAGATAAAGCAGAAAAAAAAAAAAAAAGATTGGCAACAGTTGTTAGCTCAGGTGCCAATCTTTAAAAAATAAAATAAAATAAAATAAATAAAAGCATTAGAGCTGCTGACACACTCAGGATATGAGGGGGCTAAGAATCTGGAGAGGGTGGGGCTGGCCCGGTGGTGCAGCAGTTAAGTGTGCATGTCTCGCTTCTCCGTGGCCCGGGGTTAGCCGGTTCGGATCCCAGGTACAGACATGGCACCAGTTGGCAAGCCAGGCTGTGGGAGGCATCCCACATATAAAGTAGAGGAAGGTGGGCATGGATGTTAGCTCAGGGCCAGTCCTCCTCAGTAAAGAGAGGAGGTTTGGCAGCAGTTAGTTCAGGGCTAATCTTCCTCAAAAAAAAAAAAAAAGAATCTGGAGAGGAGATAATTGCTAGGAAGTGGGCTCATAAACTATAGCTTTTCCTCCCTTGAGGCACTGGCTGATTTGGGGGAGAAACAAAGAATTGAGAAAAGCATCATTCCATTTATATAACACGCAAAAAGGGGCACAACTAATCTACACTGCCAGAAATCAGGGGAACTCGTCAATTCTTTTGGAGACAGTGACTAGCAGGGGGCATAAAGGTGCTTTTGGAGTGCTAGTAACATTCTATTTCTTATACTGGGTGCTGGTTATACAGATGTGTTCAACTTCTGAAAATTCATGGAGCTGTATACTTATGATATGTATGCTTTTCTGTATATGATATCTTTATAAAAAGTTAAAAGACACATGAATCAGCTCAGAGGGGCCCCTACAAGTCAAAGTTGAGACAAATTTCACCATTTAGAAAAAAGAGAGGTGAAAAAAAGATTACAGAAATGCAATTTATGAAAAACTATGAGTTCATAATGATAGTAAAAAAAAAAAAAGGATGCCAAAAATTCATGTCACCATTGAGGTAGCTTTTAAAGCAACACTTTACTTTGAAAACCGATGGCTATGTAGAAAGAAATTAAGCATTTCTCTTGCTTTTCCTGTCAAATTGGTCTTTGAGAGTAACCGAATAGCTTTAGTTGGTGAAGGAAAGCTCTACGCTTACAGAAGAACATCAATGAGAAATTTATCATTCCAGAACCTTAATGAAAAGATTAGCTCTGGAAACAGGCTGACAGTTGATGGGATAATGGTTCTAGACTAACTGTCCAACAACAAGATCAGACTGTCATTTCCCTAATCTAGTGGTCAACCTTAGCATTACTAATGGTTGATTCAGCCAATTATATATCTTCTGATACGATGCAATATGAGGCACATGACATCATCTACAATGCTCTAAAAAGAAAATGTTTAACACAAACAGGCCTTTACATTTAAATTCCAGTGTTCAGGAAATAAAAAAGGAAAGAGGAATACATCAAATAACACCAATGAGGAGGAAGCCAGATAAATCCAGAAAGCAAGCCACTCTACAAGATAGCCAGTCTGGTCTCTTCAATTAGTCAGCTTTGAAGATGTGGGTAAGAAAGGACTAGGCCACACTATAAATGACTTAGAGAAAATAACCAGGTGAAATGTACGGTCTAGACAGGACCCTCAATTGGATCCAATCAGTTATATAGAGAACATTTTCAAAATGGGTATAGGATGAGATAAAAATTTACAAAAAACAGGTTACAAAACAGTACATACAGAATGACTTTCTTTTGGGGGAGACATATATATATATCTATATATATCATATATAGATATATATATATCAGACAATTTCTGGAGGAATACCCTGGAAGACATTACTAATGTTCACCAATATCCAGTTTGCTTCCCCTTCTAAGCACACAAAGTATTTCTCAGGCCAACGTAACTGGGCAGGACAAGTAAGTCGTGAGGAGAAGAAACCTGTGACACTTTCTGTTGAAACATTCTCTCACCCTGCTACAGCCATTATGGAGAGGGCCTCACACTGAGATTTAGGGAACAAGATCAAAGCAGCCACCACAAGAAGGTTCACTGTCCTGGAAAGTCACCCAAACCCACAGGCGACTTTGCATGAGTGACAAACTTCTCTGTTAAGCCACTGAGATTTTGGTATTGTTTGTTATGAAAGCTTAACTGAGCTTAATCTGACTAACACAAATAGACACTAATACATTACAATGGCAATCTCAAGGTAGTAGAAATATGTCATTTTTATTTTCGCTTTTCTTTTTTTCTAATTTTCTACAATGTCCACATGCTGCTCTTTTTTTTTAAATAATAAAAAGTTACTTTTTTATTTAAAAAAATAGTGAAAGGAGACTACCTTCACAACCAACAATGAAAACAATCATCAAAGGCAATTTCCTAGATGCAGCTGCCACAAATCAGCACACAAAATACACATAAACGAAAGAGACCAGCTTCTTTTAGGGCACTAGATATCAAAGACAACTCCCTAGGCGTGGCCACCATAAAAATGGTACTCACAGAAAAAAGTAAAACTCATGCAGATGTTTTATAACAAACAACTGTTAACATTTTTAAAAAGCTCAATTCTTGCCAATAATGAAAAATTTAGTTGGGAAAGTTCACATAAGAGCGTACATGCTAACATATCATAAGCAATTATCAAGTTCATTGTTTTTGAGAGGCTTATTATTTAGTGGAAGGCTGAGAACTTTCTTCAGGCTATCTAGATTTTCCTTCATAACTGATCTAAATATACATTCCTATATCACAATTCTCCTTGGTATTGCAGAGTCCTTAGGTTTGTGGGATCAGTTATGCAAAATAAGAAAGTCCTCAATGTTTGTATTAGCAAGACTATTCATAATAGACTAAAACTGAAAACTACCCAGAAATCCATCAATAGTACAATCAATAAACAGTGATAAATTCATACCATGGAACACAAAAGCACTAAGAAAGAATGATCTACAACTACCCACAACAATGTGAATGATTCCTCCTCATTGAGTGTTGAGTGGAAGAAGCCAATCATCATAATTTATATAATATACAAAAACAGGTAAAACTAGCCTGTGTCTCCTTTTTTGGGAGACTCAGACTCAAAGACAGCACAAGGGAAGCTTCTGAAGTGCTGGGAAATTCTGTTCTTGATCTGGGTGCTGGTTACATGCATGTGTTCAATTTGTGAAAATTCATTGAACTTTATACCTAAAACTGCATATGTATTATAATTCAATAAAACATTTTTAAAACGTTCGTTAAAGTATGCAATTCTATTTTAGGTCTCTGCTTTCAGTATATCATTGAAATGTTAAATGGACTTAAAAGCATATCTATATTTGGAAAATTTATTTTTTAGGTAAGAAATCACACATATATGAAATATAATCCAAAATTTTATGAACATGAAATTATAAAGTTTAACTATTATAATGAATGAATTACACAACATAAAACTACAGAAGGGTACATTATCTAAAGACAGGTAATTTTTCAGCAAGATGGTTGTCAAAAGTGGAATAAACGTAAACTAAGTTAATGTACAATTTTCTGAATGGCAAGTTTAAAATAAGCACTAAAAGCTCTCTAATCAAATGCTAACATCATCTATATTCATTATATGATATTTTCAAATTATTCATTAAATATTACAAATACTTGTAGTACAGACGTAAAGAGACACAACCACATCGATCATATTTTATGGTATTTCTGTCAAAGTAGTCTCTTTAAATGGCTCTAAAATATCTTCCCTATTTTAAATATGAAAAAACAGAGGCAAAACAAACCTAATTGTTTTATTAACATGATCACCAATTCAATTATCGATAAGGTCATTAAAATTTTTCCTTTCAAATACAAAAGATCATGAAATAAAAATTAGCAATAGTTTTGCTTATGAATTACATGTCCTGTCTTCAAAGAGTAATACCATAGTATAAATATCTACATTGAATTTAAGAAAAACTTGGCAGCTACAAGGCAATTCAACTGATATACTGAGATTTAGCTTCTATTTTAAAATGTTTAATCTCAAAGCATAGATACTAGTACTAATAGCATAATTTATATCATAGAATAAAAGGGAGCATTTAACATAATGTATATCATAGAATAAACGGGGCAATTACTGACTATATAACAGATTACATGTATGATAAAAATATTTACATAAAAAAATGAAAGGCATTGTCTTCTCCATTTTAGAAGGTTCATTATTATTTTTATTCCAAGACAAAACCAGATTAAATAAATCAGAATTACCTTGACAGCTACTCCTTTTCCTTCTGGAAATTCTAGAAGATGAAAGGTCAGTTCTTCAACCCTATTAATGCAGAGCTTTGGGTCAGTTGTTCTTCTCAATGCCTGAACTAATGCCCGGGTTCTGTTATCAATACTCACTCTTGCAATAATCTACAACGGCATATAAAAATGTATGTATTAGAATATGAAATTGCTCTAGTAATACTAACAAATGATTAAAGCTTCTTAGGTCCCATTAGGAAATGAAACTTATAAATCTGACGAAAATTAAACCTTAAAACCACACTGAATAACTTGCCTTTTCCCGCTGAAGAGACAAACGCTTTTTCTCCTCTGCATTTTTGTCTTTGCTGACAGCCTGCTCAGCTTTCCCAGCCTCTTCCTGTTCTTCTGACTGACTCTTGGAATTGTACTTTAACTTGGGGACGAGTCCACCAATATAACCACCTACTAAAGCTTGTACACCTTCAGTGGGACGAGAAAGAAAGTTAGCAATACTCTGTTTAGCAGAAACTGGAAGAACCTCAGGTGTCCCACTGGGACTTGAGGGCTTGTCCACAGTATGTAAAGAAGATTCTGAGTCTTGCTTCTCATCAGTCAGGACACCAGAATCTGGAGAACTGGATTTCTCGTCTTCAAGTTCTGAGTTGTCCTGGAAATGTTTATTTTCCTTTTTTTGAGACATTTTCTCCTCACGTTTGAAGTATGAATTAATATGATTTGATAAGAAGTAGAATGACTCTCCAAATTTTGTGGTTATACTAGTTGAGTAATGAAAAAGGCTTTGTTTATCTATATCTTTATCTTTATCTATAATGTGACTTTTCTTTTCTGGAAACGAACTCTTTTCTTCTGATTTGTCACTATATCTTTTCAAAGATTTAATGGCTTGTCGAACGTTTTTCTGTTTTAACCAGACACTATCTGATACTTTTCTTAATATTCGAGAACTTGGCTTAAATTGAGCTAAACATGAGATCATTTCATTCTGCTTACCAAAAAGAGCCTTTGAAACAGAGTTCAAAGTACTTTTAATACGGGACATACGAATGCTCACTTTTGTAAGTCCCCTGGGAGCAGAGGTGCTAAGTTTCAAAATTCCAGTATGTACACCATGGTCGCTAGGAGAGTAACAGTGCTTACTGCAAGAGTGTGCTTCACTTTTGGTCCATTTACATCTTACTTTGCTTGTGTGAAAGGCTCTTTGCAGACTGATGTGGCTTATGCTCCAGTAATGTTCAGGTGAGCACAAGAAATGCAGTTGCTTGCTCCTTTGCTTCCCATAAAGACTTCTTGCATTACTAAGGAGGTAAATATATATATCTACAGTCAAATTAATAGACATAACTTTAAACGCATTTATTTTCTATATGTTATGACTCTCACGTCAGTCCTCAATGCTTCATTTAAGAAATGCCATAATTCATGGTCTCACCTGAAATGGGAGGAAAAAAAAATTAGAATTCAAGGTAAAATTGAAATTGGGCATAAGACAAAATACATTACTACTTGAACTAAACTGAGCAACTTGTCTCAAAAGAAGATAGAATAATACGTTTCCATTATGGCTGATATAGATTTGAACTTTTAAGTGAATAGAAAATAATTCACCTTGCAGTACAGAACTCAGTGAAAAGAAAGTGAGTAGCACGATGTCTCATGAGAAGTAATTTAGGGAAGCTACCCAACAGATGAGTTTTCCTACAACACATAACCGAACATCCATTTTAGATACTATGCTGTTTTTCTTCCTCATTGTTAAAGCCTTGACTAGTTTATATAACATCAGACTTGAAGTTCTTTGAAGACAAGAGTCAGGTCTTATACTTCATTCACTGCAAACCATTTATAGAATATTTAATCTACATTAAACATGGTGCTAGACGCGGAAACCACAAAGAGAAACGGATACTGAGGAACTTTCAGTCCTAGAGCTGGAGAGAACCACGTAAAGATTTCACTATCTTCTAGTAATACATATTTATTAAATCAAGGAAGTCAATTGGTAAAAATGTAAATGATTGATAATATCTAGTATTGATAATGGGCTGGGGAAATGGGACACAGATGGTTAATTGACAGTATCTAATGAAATTTTAAATGCTATCTATCAAAATTTTAAAGGTACATATTCTTTGATCAGCAATTCCACCATTAAGAATTTATCCTACAGAAATACTTGCAAAAGAGTGCTAGGGTATATACACACATTCCCTGCCTCACCGCTTGAAATAACAAAACACTGAAAAACAATGCTAAATGCCTTCTAGCAAAGGATGGTTAAATAAATTATGGTTCAGACACACAATGGAAGAAGTTACCACATAATATTATGTAGCAATTAAACTAGCAGAACTGGGTGATCTGCATATATTGCCATATCCTTCATACACAGCACAGAGAAAAAGGCAAGCTGCAATGCTATATGCACTATACACCCATGAAGAGACAGAGATGTTGAAATGCAGATATCATATGATAAAAGAAAACAAAAACTATATGTGCAGTTTAAATCTTTGGCTACACACACACATATACAGAAAAAGAGACAAAGGGATTCTGAAAGGATAAGAACCAGTTTATTTTTTATTGTGAACTGAGGAGTGGGATCAAGGAGAATGAGGAGAAGAGCTTTTACTTTTATTTTTGTCTTGTGAATTACTTACAATGAGCAGGTATTACTTTTGTAATTAGAGAAAGCAAACAATTTAAAGCACTTTAACAGATGGTGCCATGTTAATGGAAGACACAAAGTGAGAGCAGACATCCGGGTAAGTCCAAAAAAAGATGCTAAAAACTGGGCAAAGTTAAAAAGGAAATCATCACAGGGAAAAGATGAGAGGGGAAGGCGAGAAATCTAAATAATGGAAAAAAATAGACACAAGTAAACACAAAAAGAGCAAAAATTGCAAGTAGTCTAGTTTTCCTCCAGGACCTGGAAAGAATAATAAGGGAAAGGTAGAAAATAATATTGTAAAGATAGTTTGGGCCAGATTATGAAGGGTCTTGTAAATCTTGTCAAGGAAATTAAAACTCAAACTCATCAATAAAATATTTTAAGCAAAGGAATGACATTAGAAAGATGATTCCAGCAGATCACTGACAGAATGGAGCAATGGGACAAGCCTGAGAAAGACAGAAACCTAGAACCTATTGTGGCTGTCCAGAAGAGGAGAGTCTGAACCAAAATCTCTCTATACTGCATGTGCACCTATTATTTTCAAATATCGGATTGTACAGAGGAGAGGAGAGAAAAGAAACAAACATATCTGTCTTCCTGGCTCTTCTGAACTCCTCAGGACTTGCAGTCAACTTAACAAGCTGAATTAACATAAAAGCACCACAATCCCCAACACAGAAATACTTGATGAAATACAATTAAAGTACTTGTGGATAAAGAGCCATGCTCAAAACCAATAACGGACTCCTACAACTCAACAAAAAATCAAATAACACATTAAAAAATGGGCAAAGGACTTGACTAGACATTTCTCCAAAGATGATACACAAATGGCAAAAAAGCGTATGAAAAAGATGCTCAACATCACTGATCTTTAGAAAAATGCAAATCAAAACCAAATGAGGTATCACCTCACACTCATCAGGATGGCTATTATCAAAAAAATAGAAAATAAGTGTTGACAGAGATGTGGAGAAGTTGGAACCCTTCAGCACTGTTGGTGGGACTGTAAAATGGTGTAGGCAAAGAGTACGGTGGTTCCTCAAAATATTAAAAATAGAACTACCATATGATCCAGCAATCCTCCTTCTGGGTATACATCCAAAGGAATTGAAGAGTTATCTCCACACTTGTGTTCACAGCAGCACTATTCACAAGAGCAGAGGTGGAAACAACCCAAATGTCCAAGACAGATGAACAAACAACATGTGGTATATACACACAACGGAGTATTATGCAGCCTTAAAAAGGAGGGAAATCCTGTCACATGCTACAACATGGATGAACCTTAAGCACCTTAAGTGACATAAGCCAGGCAGCATAGTCAATGCATAGATATAGAAAGTAGAATGGTGGTTACAAGAGGCTGGGGGAATGGGGCAAAGGAAAATTGTTGTTTAATGTGTACAGAGCTTCAGTTCCGCAAAATGAAGAAGTACTGGAGATCTGTTTCACAACAATGTAAAGGTACTTAATGCTACTAAACTATACAATTAAAAATGGTTAAGACGGTAAATTTTATGTTTTCTACCACAACAACAAAAAAAACCAACACAACAGTGGGAAATGCACAGTTGAAGAGGAATCACAGGCCTGGATCTGCAGTCACATTTTCTTGCTAGTGCAGACACCAAGCAAACGGAAACTAGTCAGCGTGCTAAACCCCAGGGGGCCTCGGCAGAGTCAACTCAACTGCCATGTAAGGACTCTTCCAAAGCTTAGGGCAAGTGGGACTCCCGCTCTAAGCAACCACCATTGAAGATTAACTCACAAAGGTTACAAAACCAGCAAGGCAATGAACCCTCACCTCCAGTGCCAGCAAATATGGCCAACAGGAAAATGTGTAACCAAGGTTTAGAAATAATAGGAAAAAATTAAGTAGGTTTAAAATGTTCAATGTTATAACAGAGGGAACAAAAATAAAGAGGCAAAAATAAAAACTTTCCAGTGAACAGGAAGAGCAAAATTTTAGAAATGATAACTCCAGCTACATGCTAGTTACTAGACACACCTATAATATAATGACAAAGAATGGCTGAAAATAAAGGAGTGGGCAAAAGGATATGCCAGGCCCACACCAAACAAAAGAAAACAAAGGCACTTTAAGGCAAATTTAAGGCAAAAGCACTAGATAAGGATTAAAAAAGGACAGTATATAATAGTAAAAGGAATAATTTATTTACTTAGTAAACTTCAGGAAGTCTTCTAGGCCTTGGAGAACAAGACAATCTATTAGCAAATAAACAAATAACTAATATAACGTATACTATGAGTCAAAAAGTGTCATGAAGAAAAACAAAGTGGAGGTTAGGGAGGAAGGGCACAAGAGTGCTATTTTAGTCGAAGCGGTCAGGAGAAGAACTGAGTTGACATTTTACTGGAGACCTGAATGAAGTGAGGAAGCAAAGTATTAAAAAGTATCTGGGGAAAAAGCCTTCAAGGCGGAGGAAAAAGCAACCAAGACTTTGGAGGCAGGAATGAGCTTTGTCTATTCAGGAACATCAAGAAGAACAAGGTGGGTGAAGGCAAGTAAGAAATGGGAACAACGGTAGAGACGGGCCCAAGAGTCAAGCAGAAGCCAGAGCTACATAGGCCTCCACTGCGGTAAGGAGTCTGCACTGTTTCTTTCCAACAAGATACAACCCTCAAGACCAATTATGAATACATCTATCAACTTGGCATTGAAATATAGAATATAAAGCCAAAAAAAGGGGAAAAAATTACAAGACTAGACAATTTCGTGATCCTAATATTTTAATACACCTCTCTAGAAACTAATATTGTCAAACAAGAATTACTAAATATAGAGAGATGCCAACAAAATCAACAAGCTTAATTTAACTGCTCCCAAATCATAACACTAGTAAATGTAGAGTTTTGAGAGTAAACTCAGGTGGAACAAAAGTTAGATTGGAGAAAGATGAAGAGAAGAATGTAAACTGGGAGGCGCCATCATCTGCTGAGAAAGAGCAGGGAAGACTAGATGACCTGTTTATAGGGTAGTATAAACACAGTGGAGGCATAGACAGAACAGAGAGGCTTAGACCAACCACTAGGGAATGGAATTGAATTTTAACTAGAGAAAATAACGGAATTGCTAGGCAGAGGCTCAGCTGAGGATGGAAAGAACGAACGTATAGAGGACTTCACTCACTTACTCAATAATGCAAGCATAAGGTGACAAAAGTTTGAATTAAGGTAACTACTATAATGGAGAAGACGGTTACTTTGAGCCATACTTTGAAAATGGGGAAACAACAAAACGCAGGATTTGGTGACAGGGAAGAATGGGGTCAGGAGAGGGAGGTGTCAAGATAACTTAAGCGTTCCTAATCAGAGACACAGGGAGAATGCCGTTTGAGAATATGAGGTAACCGGAAAGGGGGCCAATTTAATATGAAAGAAAAATCTCTTGGATTCACAGGATGAAGCAACAGTCAAATGAAGATATAGCAATATAGGCTGTGGATATCTGTTTGGAGTTGTCAGTACAGTCACAGCTGCAACCATAAGACGATTTACCCAAGAAAGGTTTCTAGTAATAATTCTTGAGCATTTTGTGATCACAGAACCTGATAAAAGCTCCTCTTCCTTAAAAAAATGCTTATTTGCATATATACACTTTCTTTTCCAGGACATTTCCCATTCATGGGCCTATTAAAATAGTCCTTGGGTTTCAAATTTTAAAACTCTGGTTTAGAGAGACGAACAAGAGTAGAGCCTTGACTGCCATCCAGAGTTAGGAAGAGAAAGTCTTCCAAGGAAACAGAAAAGCTCAGGAGAAAAGCGACCCTGAAAAGATCAGGGCAATGGAAACCAATACAAGAGCGAGTTCTAAAAAGTAGTGGATAATGAACAAAGTAAATATAAGACCCTAGAGTGAAAGATTAGGATTAAGACACGACAGGACAGGAAGGTGTCTCGGGCTAAGAGTTCTAACTCTGACCTTTACACAAACATATCTTCCACAAGTGAGGCAACAGGTACTCTTCAGCACAATTTCTCTGCCATCACTGAGCCAAAAAACAACTCGAAGGACAAGCTGCACTTTATCCACTTCGCATGTGAAGCAAGTAAATGTATAAACTAGTGAAACTGATCCTTTCGTTCAACACCACTCGTTAAAAGGACATTGTTTTCAAGACTTTAATTCAGATCTGATATAGAAATAGAAAAAACGAGATCAACATTAAAAAAGTTTGATTAACAAAAATCATGAAATAAGAACATGTCCTGACATTGAAAGCACAACTAATTTGCACAAGCAACTTAACAAAATAACTACAATGGGTTTGAAACAACTGCCTTATAAGAGGCATAAACTCAGTTCACAGTTTAATATACTTTTTAAAAATTGTCGGATTTTTAAATTCTTAGTATTTCACTGTTTTAACAACAGCATTTTCTCGATACACTGACACACAATCTTGTCATTCTTGAAATCTCAACAACTAGGATTGTAGAACCAGGATGCAATTGTTACTGGAAGCAAAAACACTATTTTAAACAGGATTCTATGATAGTCCCTTATGCCACGTCTCTTCTAGGGTTTTCCTAAGAGTCACCACTTTCCTTTAAAGCTATCATTGTCTTAGGCGCAGAACCAGGTTCCTCCCAGCATGATGATAAAATGACAACGACGGGAAGCACTGCAATACAGTGATTCATAAAACCTCATCTTTTCCAAAGCACACAACTGAATCCGCTCAGGCAACAGCAGCCAGGGAAAGAGTTAAAGGTGGGTGGGGTTAAAAAGAAATAGCTGATGAATGAAAATATTGAGCTGCAGAATCATCCGGGGCACAGTGACAGTGGAGAATGATGGAGCCTAGGGAAACTGCTGGGACAGTCCCCAGAGAACTGCTGGAGAACGCACAGCCCAGGGAAGCCAGACTCAGGATAACGCGGCTGGGAGTCGCGGGGGAGGGACAGCCAGCGCGGGGCGGGACCAGAGAAACCAAAACAGTGTGCGCGCCCGGGCCGGCGAAACCCACCCGGCGGCCCGGACCCGCCGGCTCCTCCCGGGGCCCGGGCGCCTTCTGGAGCCTTGGTCAGGGACGTCCTCGAGGCCGGGCGTCTCCCCGCCCTCGTCCTCTGGAAGTGTCCTCCGAAGGGAGGTTAGAAGACCCGGAGGGCCGGACAAGCGCTCAGGGCGACCAGGCTGCCCCCTTCCCTGGCCTATCGTCCCGCCTCTGTCCCCCAGCGGCCACTTACCGGGATGCAGGCCGCAACGACTTGGGCGGCGGTGGCGAGGCGCCTCTCCCGGGCGCCGACGTCCACTGGGGCCGGTCAGCATCAGCTGAGCTTCCAACACAAACAGATCCAGCCGGCTGGGCGCCCTCCCGCCCCAGCTCCGTCCCGCCCCAGCTCCGTCCCGCCCCAGCGGAAGTGACGCACGCGGCGCGTCTACCCGCCGCCCCAGAGGCTCTCCGCTCGCTCAAGCCTCGGCCTCCCGGTCAGTCGCAGCTCCGCTCCCTCCCCCGGGCATGCGCAATAGAGCAAGACTGAGCGCGAGGCGGGGCGTGCGTGCGTGCGTGCGTGCGTGCACACGCCTGCGTGAGCCCGGGCAGGAAGCGGGTTGGTGGCGGCTCGGAGGTCTTTGCTCCGTGGGCTTGGTCGCGCGCCTCCATCCCCTGTCACCTAAACTGATCCTCCCATCCGCGTCCCTGAAGGTCCTGTCCGCGCTGGCGCCGGCCCTCGGAGCTGTGGGCTGCTGCCGGGGTGGAGCAGCGTGGGCCGGGGCCGCGCCCGCTCTGCTGTCACCTTTCTCGGGCATGGCCTCTGGACTAAATAGCGCTGAAAAGCGCTGTCACGTCTACTATTGTTGCATACACTGCATGTTGCATGTTAGCCTGCGAAGTTGGCATATACTGCCCCACAAAGAGTCTCACACTTAACGCTTAGATTTTTCGAATTCTGACACCTTATGCATACCAGGTAACCGCAGATCTGGCCCACCGCCGGGTTTTGCACATCGATGAGCTAAGAATGGTTTGTGCTTTCCCAACGGTGACAAATATAAAGAGAATATTTTGAGACACATGACAATGACATGAAATTCAAATTTCAGCGTCTGGGCAAAAAATTTTTACTAGAACACAGCCATTCCCATTCTTTTATATGTCAAGCAGCTTTTATGCTACAACAGCAAATTTGAGTAGTTGCAACAGCTTCCTTCAATTAAGTCAAGGTTAGGAAACGTAGAAAAGAAGTCTTTACTAGACCTCAACCTCAAATAATACCAAGACTGTCGGACTCTTTCTCTCTCTTGGCTCCCATCTCACTCATGGCTGTTATTGCTTTAGCCTCTTCTAAGACTTTTATAGACTTCTTGCAAAGTCTTTAAGGAAGGAATTATATGAGCTGCCAAACATAGTGGGTGTTAGACTGCTACCATTTCCTTTTTTTTAATTAAGGGGAGGAAGCCAGCTTGCTAGGGTCTTGGGGCAAAAATGGCTGTATTGTGTATGTGATAATGCATGATAAACCTCTGCAGTGCATTATTATTTAGCTATATGATAGATAAGAGATGGTGTGCACAAATTAAGAGGCATATGGGAGTAACTTTAGTTCTGGAGAAAAGTTTCTTCCCATTGTTAAAGAAAAAATTGTTCTTAACACTTATTAAAATGATAAGGAAGACTTTATTGAGGATTATTGCGGTGGGTGTCAAGACTATCGCAACAGGGGAGAGAGATTAGGGTCAACCGTGAATAGAACAAAGAGAGCTGAAGATGTATAGCCAATGAGCAGAGTGAGAGGGGTCAGTTGGTGGAAAATTGCTAAGAGGGGACATCAAGGGTAGGAGTGATTCTTGTTAAGGTGACTTAGGATTCTTGCTGAACACAGACCGGTGTGATCAGATATCAAGGGTGAGTGAGGAGGACTTTGATCAGATAATCCAGGGTGATCAGATATCAGGGGTGGGAGAGTCTCTCTAAACTGACTTAGAGGTATTTTTGCTAAAACTGGACTTGACAGGCCAAAGACAGGGCCCAGACAGACAGCAATCCTACACAAGAAGAGGGCTCAGAGAAACCTAATTAAAGTTTGGCCAAGGAGAAAGTGTTTGTCACCATCCATTCCCCCCTTATTTTCCTTTATTCCCTGATTTAGTCAGACTTTATCAAATGTCTAGATTTACTGCTCATGTCAGAAATTTCAGGGCCAGCCCCATGGCCGAGTGGTTAAGTTCGCACGCTCTGCTTCAGGGGCCCAGGCTTTCACCAGTTTGGATCCTGGGTGCGGACATGGCACTGCTCGTCAGGCCATGCTGAGCTGGTGTCCCACGTAGCACAAGCAGAAGGACCTACAACTAGAATATACAACTACGTGCTGGAGGGCTTTGGGGAAAAGAAGAAGGAAAAGAAAAAAAAAAAAAGAAAATTGGCAGCAGTTGTTATCTCAGGTGCCAATCTTTAAAAAAAAAAAAGAAATTTTCAGATAATTGTCAAGTCCTCTTTCTCCTTTTTTGCCCTTCCCTTCCCTCCCTTGTCTACCCCCGTACCTTTAACAGTTGTGAAGTCTGATGATTCTTACTGTAAAATCTCTTGAATCTTTCCACTGTTCTACAGTGTCATTTCTACTGCTGGTTTAGGTTTTCGTCCCTGCAACTCAGTCTTATCTAAACTGGTTTTCCAGCCTGTGATTGCCCTCCGACTCAGAGCCTTTCTCTTCTGTGCAGCCAAGGTAATCTTTCTAAAGTGCAAGTCCAACCATGTATTTTCCCTGATTTAAAGTGTTTTCTGGCGCTTCATTTCCACATAGTAAAATGGATGCCCTGTTAGGTTCTGGCCCTGCCAACCTTCCAGCCTTAATTTCACCACTTGCTCCTTGCTCTGTACCCTCCAGTCACTCCTATAGTTCCCCAAATACCTGTGTCTTCTTATTCTTCAGAGCCTTTGCTCATGCCTCCTTCAAAACAAGGAAAGCCTACAAAACTAAACATACTCTTACCATACGATCCAGCAATCATGCTTCTTGGTATTTACCCAAAGGATTTGGAAACTTGTGTCCATAGAAAAACCTGCACACACGTTTATAGCAGCTTTATTCATAATTGCCAAAACTTGGAAGCAACCAAGATGTCCTTCAGCAGGTGAATGGATAAGCAAATTGTGTTACATCCAGACAATGGATTATTCAGCACTTAAAAGAAATGAGCTTCAAGCCGTGAAAAGACATGGAGGAAACTTAAATGCCTATTACTAAGTGAAAGAACCCAGTCTGAAAAGTCCACATACTGTATCGTTCCAACTATATGACGTTCTGTAAAAGATAAAACTATGGAGACAGTAAAAAGGTCAGTGGTTGCTAGAAGTTGGGATGGGGAGTAGGGGCGGGATGTGTAGCCTCAGCACAGAGGATTTTTAAAGCATTGAAAATACTCTATTATACTATAATCATGGATACGTGTCATTATACATCTGTCTAAACCCATAGGATATACAACACCTAAAGTGAACCCTAAGGTAAACTGTGGACTTTGGATGATAGCGGTGTGTCAATCTAGGTTCATTAATTGTAATAAATGGCGGGGGATGTTGAAAATGGAGGAGGCTATGTATGTGTAGGGGCAGAGAGTATATGGGAAATCTCTGTACCTTCCTCTCAATTTTGCTGTGAACTAAAGACCTCTCTAAAAAATTGTCTTTAAAAAGAAAATTAAAAAAAAAAAGGAAAGCTTTATCTTACTACTTCATAGAGCAAATCATTCCTTCCATTTGTGCTTGCTTTTCCTAGTGCCTTGGCTGCACAGTACTGTAGTTTATTCATTGATATGCCTGTGGATTTCCTTTAGGCAGAGAGTGCAACATAGCTATACTTGTATCTTCCAGACATAGCACAAATACTCAGCAAATAGACTCTCTCAAATTCTATATTATTGAAGTGATTTTTAATTTTATTCAGATTACTAGTTAATAGGTTAATAAAGAAAAAGAAAATCCATTCATGATTCTTTTGATGTTAGAAAAGTTTTAAGAGAAAAGAGAATTTCAAACCAAATAAATTTAGTAGTGTGCAAAATAGATTATCTCGTGTTTTTAATAGCAGACTAAGAATATTTAATAACCTTTAGGAAAATATCATACTTTGACTAGTGTTAAATACAGTAACTGTTCAACCCTATATTCTGCTGCTGCTAGAAAAAATAGACATCCACACTGCTCCTGTGTCACTTACTTGCTGTTCTCATTGCATTTAGAAGGTTTAAGATTATCTATTTTAGATCTTTCCCTTCCCTAAATCCATAATCAGCCCTTCTTTCTGTTAACTATTAAGGTCTGGCTCATAATACCTCTTCAAAGAACTTCTGGTCTCTTTTATTGTTCAAACAAAACTTAGTCTGTAGCCAAAATACATTTAGCCGTATAGCTGTAAGATATTTCTCCAATCACCCAAGTGAGGAATATGATGTAAAATGATTCTGGAAGAATAGTTGCTGTGGTAGGCAGAATAACGGTCCCCTACAAAATATCCATGCCCTAATCCTTTGTGCCTGTGAATACGTTATGTTACATGGCAAAAGGGACTTTGCAGATATAATTAAGGGAACAGATTTTAAGAAAGGGAAGATGTCTGGATTATACAGGTGGGCCCAATCTAATCACATGAGCCCTTAAAAGCAGAGAACTTTCTCAGGCTGGTGGCAGTAGAGATGTGGCAGACGGGAAGTCGGAGAGAGTCACACAGGTGGTAGCGGTGGCAGGGAGAAGCGGGGGACAATTTGACAGGGAATACAAGTGGCTTTAAAGAGCTAAGAGATGCTCCTGGCTGACAGCCAGCGAGGAAATGGAGACCTCAGCCCTACAGCTGCAAGGAACTGAATTTTGCCAACAACCTAAATGACCTTTAAAAGCATTTTCTTCCCCGTGAGCCTCCAGGTAAAAGCCTAGGCTAGCTGATATCTTGATTTTGGCCTTGTGAGACCAGGAGCAGAGGAACCAGTCAACCCTACCTGGACTTCTGACCTCCAGAAGTGTGATGTAATAAATTTGAGTTGTTGTAAGTCACTAAATATGTGATATTTTGTTTCAGCAGCAGTAGAAAATTAATACAATAACCTTTATATAATTTGAGGACATGAAGGCAAAGACTTTGTCTGTTCTGATCCTTAGCATCTAGGCCTGGCATTTTGTAGACACAGTAAATGTTTGATGAGTGCCTCTTGAATGAATTAGATTCATTGATTCAACAGTTATTCACTGAGTGCCTATCATGTGTCTAAATGCCCAGCTATTTAGTAAAAAAATGGAAAAGCCTTCATGGAACTCATGGTATAAATTTAGGTAATTATACTACTAAAGTGGAAAGAGCACTAAGAGAGATATGCACCGGATATACAAGAGCTCGGAGCAGGAATACCCGGCTCAGCATGTGGAGTTAGG